GGAACGTCTCCCTCGCCTCGCCCGCTCCCTTTCCCTCTCATTCAGCAACTTTGAGTGTTGCAAAACATTATCTGTGTCATCAGGCTGGGGAAGCTAAATGGCTAAATGGACCTCTCACAAACAACAGCAAATGTTGGGCGGGAGAGAAGTTGTCGAGGGACGAGCATTCTTCTGGGGGAGGGAGAAAGTCCATGGCAAATTTTGCAGCAAGCCATCCAGGACCATATGCTCAGCCAGAGTAGAGGCACCTGCAAGCAAGGGCTACAGAGGTGGGGGAAGGTGCTTGGGGTGGGTGGGGTGGGGGGTGGATGACCCAAACCATAACCTCTCAGGATAGGCAACACCACACATTATGAACTCCTTGGAAATGTGACCATGGCCACCTTTGTTCCTGGCTTTTGCCTCCAGAGGAGTCCCTGAGCTTATTCCCTGAAGCACCCCAGGATCAGGCCAGTGTGTGGCCTTGCAATGGCTCCAAATTGAGCTCTGGATAGTTACATCTTTTGGTTGAACAGAAGATGCCTTCTTGTTTTCTCTGAGAGAGTCACAGGGCACCTGCTTTGCCTGCAAGAGGTGGTCATAACGCCTCAATTTACTCAATTAACAAGCAGTGGAAAAGAGCCAAAGAGTACCAGCTTGCCACAAAATGTGCTATAGCCAGGCCCCCTTGCGCACGCAGCGGTGCCCATTGCCAGCTCACCTGGTGATTGTGTTGGTGTCCCACAGCAATGGCCGCCACTGTCTGGGCTTGGAGATGGGTTTTGACCTGCAAATTAGAAAAGGAGAGATCCTTAGGGACAGAGGGAATGGCCTTGCTTCAGAACCCTGAAGCCTTAGAGGGAATAAAAAGGGCCTGTTCATGCCCATGGCAGCAACAGGTCCAACCTGCCTCTGTTCTTCTCATTCCGGAAAGGCACTTGGGGACAGTTACATAACTCTCTACACCCACCTGTTTTTCTCTCAGAGTTTGAGCCCAGGGCCCATTGCCATCTCTTGCTTTATGGACTTGCAAATGTCTTGGGACACTGTTCCTCCTTTGCACCGATCCCAGCCCACACGCTGTTTACAAAGTCTAAAAGTCCAGTTCATCTTTGGAATGTGGCACTGAAAACCAAAGGGACTGGAAGCAGAGGATACAGCTGCTCAGTCCCAAGGAGGGACATGTACTGATTTCTTCCAGGGTGGCAGTTTCCCCACAAGAACAGGAGCAGGACAGAGCTGTTGGGCTTCTGTCTGGCTTTGCAGGCCTTCCCGTAGATGTTGTAGGCACTGTGTGGGACTCAAAAGGCTTTTTTTAAAAAAGTTGTTTATCAACTTCTTTTCCAAATTACGTCCAATAGAACCTAGTTTGAGAACCAGCATGGTTCTTACTGTTTGTTTATTACCCAGATTTGTATCTTGCATTTCTTTCAGCGAGCTCACGGCAGGGCACGGGATTTCCTCCTGTGTTATTCTCACAACTGCCCTGTGGGTCACCCATGGGTTTCCTAGCTTTGTTCAGATTGCAGCTTGGGTTCCTCGCATCCTAGTCCAGCACACTAACCACACCCCCCTACGGGTTACAAGCCCAAGTGTACTCGAGGCAGAAAAGGCTTTGAGGCTGTTTCACAAAACACAAATGGGAACGGAATTATCACTGGGGTGGAGGGAATGGCTTGGCCTTTCTTAGAAGGCTGTAGGGCTTTGTTCACCCCAGTTCTATGTGCAGGGGATTTGGATCTCTGAACCCCCTGCATCCAGGGGCACATTGTGGCTTACAGGGGATGGAGAAAGCATCTGATTTTGGCAGGAAAGGGTCATGGGCCCATACGGACGGTTCCAGAGGAGGCTTGTGCACTAACCATGTGCTGTGTGGCTACGTACTGTGAAGAGCAGTGGTCACAGAACTATTAGGAAGCTATTCCATGCAGAGCCGGATTCTGCACCCTGTACTCAACTCAGAGAAGTTGTCCAGGGTTGCATAATTGAAGGGTAAAGAATACAGACTGAGTTTCTCCCTGCTTCCATATGCCCGATTTTGTCATGAGTTGGTCAAACCCACTTTCGATGGTTGTCTTCACAAAGACTAGAATCGGGATGGCTGTACAGAGGGCAGGGAGCTTTTCCAGAATATGGCACGCTGCATCCGAAATAAGTTCAGTGGCTGAATTACAGCAAAGCTTCCGTAGGCCTTTGTGTAGCTGGCACGTTGACTTGAGTTGGTTAAGAATGGGTCGACTACCGGCTGTCCTTTCTGGGCTGGTAGAGGGGCTAGGAACTGTTTATGGGGAAATCACATAGGTAGTATCTTATCTTTCATTTAGAGTCTGTCCTTCTCCAAGATGCTCATGGCAACGTATAGGGTTGCCTCTTAAGTGTTCTGAAGTCACTTCTGTCTTACAGCAATCCTAATGGGGTTTTTGAGGTTTGTGGGATCTTCACAGAATGATTTACTCTTGTCGCACCCTGGTGATTTCCATAGCTGAGTGGGGATTTAAACCCAGGATTCTTGTGGATCTAGTCTGATACCCTATCCAATACACACCATGCTGATGTCCTTTCATGGTTTTCTCCCTGTTTTTCCTTGTAAGTGCCCTATGAAGGGGGATAGGGTGACCAGCTCTCTGTGATGGTCGTCAGCATTGATGAGGGACTAGAACCTACATCTCCATAAGTGTAGCAGGAAACTATGGTGACTGCACAGCAAGTGAGCTTTGAGGAAGTAAATGAGTTTTCATTAGGGTAGTTATTACACTGCCATCCTGCCAAAAATGGCTGTATTTGAAAGAAGGGCAGCACACGTAATGGTTCAGAGAGGGGCTGAAAAGGTGCTGCTGATGCTGGTGGAACCTTGGGGCTTCGGACCATGGGCAGTTCCACTGCTGTTGGTATCCCGCTGTCTTTATAAAATGGGGATAGCCCTGGACAGCATTGGAAGGGAGAGTTGATATGGGGTCAACCAGGATGAAAACATTGAATCTCAAAGCATTGCAACAAGTGGTGCCTTTGCTCTGTCTCTGTCTGCCTCCGTTTCAGTTCTGACACCTGGTGGAGGGTGCCAGGATGGCCTTTGGAGGAGCGGGTGGAGGTGGCTACCCAGGGCTAGACACAACCATGGCAAGACACTCAACACAGACTTACCAGGTAGGCTGGGCTGCCTACGAATGCTCCCAGTCCCCCAGCCATGGCTCCGGCCACGATGGTCCCCCCTGGCTGTTGGGTCAAGCCGAGATCTTCCGCGTAGGAGTAGAAGCAGAAGCGGACTCCGTTCATCAGCCCCTGGTAGAGGAGCCCAGCTGTGAGTCCCTTCTGGAGGCCCCAGATCCCATCGGCCTGACTGACGGCCACCATGGCCTGCAGCACCCCTCGGTAATGGCGGGGGTAGGTCCCCCGAGAGCGGAGCTCCCCTTGCAGCTGCAGGCGCGTCTTGATCACCTCAAGTGGGTTGGTGAAGACACAGGCCATGCAGCACGCCGTCGCTCCTAGCACAAAATCCACTGGTGGGGAGACGGAAACCACGACGGGAGGGGTGTGGGAAGGATCCATGCTGTGACCCCACTAGCCCTGCTTGTGCAAGGCACCTTAGGTGTACGAGAGGAGGTGGAGGGAGAGCTGCTTGCCCCTCTAGCGATGCACTGAAGAGAAGCCAGGCTCAACACTTGATTCCCAGGGTTGCAAACTGGCACGCCAGCCTGATCCAATGGGGCAGCAAGCAGCCTCTCTCCCCTCTTGCAGGCCCTGTTGCCGGCTTCTCTTCTCCCTTGTGGCTCAGCTTGCTCTGTGCCATCCGCGGCAGTGCTTGCCACTTTTGGTATTGCTTTAGTGTCCTCTGCAGGCGCTCTCCTTCCTGTCTCTGAATGAAAAGGAGGGCTGAGCTTTCTTTTTATTAGCCTCTGTGCCAGGGAAGGGGTTGGGCAGGGGAGGGAGCGCTGCTGAATATAGGGGAAAGTTCACCCCATGTCTCTATCAATCTCCTCCCACCACAGTTCTGTTGACTAAGGATCCTCTTACTCCTGAATTTGCAGGAGCAGAGAGTGTAGGAGGAGGAGGGTGGGAGAGGGATCCAAGCTCCTCCTGTAAAGAAGGTGTTTGTTTCTAAAACTAGCAGCTGGTCTGCCGGGCTCCTTCTCTGAAGACAGCAGATGAAAGAAGGGCATTCTGCAATGTGAGACAGAAGGTGAGATTATGGGAGAGACTTGAGTGCCTAAGGAGGAGGCAGATTACAGAAGGAGAAGAGAGATCCCCTCTTAGAACTTCCTATTGGGGAGAAGCCGATTTACCAGGACCATGGGATAATAGTTATGGTAACCCGTTCCTGTTTGACAATTGGAAGCCCCTTCTGGACCCGTTGGCAGAAGGAGAAAAGACTCACAACCGTGTCACAGACACTTGTTTATTGTTAAATGCACCAATAAATGTTCCACCTGTTTTGAAGCAACAAAAATCTACTGATTTCTTTGAACTGAATGTGGAGCCGAAAACTCTCACATGCAGGAATACCGCTTCTGTCCCATGCACACCTGTATATCATTGCAGCATACCCACACAGAAATGTGGGAACAAAACATCTCATGGAAGTGGCCTTCTTTGAAAAGAAATGGCCGACTATACACAGAGTGGAAGGCGTATCTTGTCCTAAGTCTGCAGGGGCAGAAGGAACTGGTGCAAAGCATAAGGACTGAGAAACATTGCCAACAATGTACAGAAGGAGGAAGAAAGAATCTTGTGACACCTTAGAGTTGAACAAATTTTATTTGGCGTAAGCTTATGAGGACCTCTGCTGTTCATGGCAGCAGGTTTGTGTTGCTATCCACTGAAGATTTCTGCAAAGGAAGGCTGATAACCCTGTTAGCAGGGCCAGCCCTTCTTGGAAAGCCTTTAAGAGGGGCTCAAGAGGTCATGCGCCGAGAACGTGTCCTTGCTGGACACAGTCACATGCAAGGATGATGCCGGCCAATCTGGGCCTTTTGGGAAGCAGTGAGTGGATATGGTTGTAGCTGAAGAACATTCCTTCCCCACACAGGCTCAAAGTGTGGTCTGGATGGTTTGTGAACAGCTGTCTCCGTCAGTGTCCTGAAATTTCATATCTCAGGCAGGGGTCCGGTTGCAGGAGGCAGGACAAAGGATCAAAAGGCTGGTTGGGAACTAGGTCACAGAGCCTTTGGCCTTGGCAGGGCACCTCTTGCATACCATTAAGTTTTTTTCCACCCTCTCCGCTGCCATCCAGAGAGCTTCTGTTCCTCAGAGGCCTTTCCATGTCAATGAGTGCTCCGTTCTGTTCCGTTCCTGGCATTGGGTTCTCAAAAAAATCAGGCTTTGACTCCCGGGCTGCAGAGGGGAGAAGATGGGGCCCCACATGGAAAGGAGATGGAGGAAATCTAGCCTTCATACTGGCTACAGTTTGTGCTGGGCTGCTGGACCTAATGGTTATCTCTCAGGCAAAATCCCCTCCTTAAACTGGAGAGGTGGAGATCAGACTTTATTTCTCACATCCTAAAGTACAGCCAACAAAGGGAGGAAGCAGGGAAGAGAAGCTGGGATTAAACAGAGAGCTGAGAGTCATTGAATCTATGATGAGAACAATAAAGAAGCCAGAAGGAACAGGCGGCAGCCTTTTTTTGTCCACCCAGTGCATTGCAAGCAGTTTTATGCAAGCTGCCTCTGGTGAGCTTGGTATGGCAAGAAAAGATTGGCACATGTCACGTCCTTCCCATCAAAGCCATGAGATTGGAATAGAAAGGAATTCAGGACATAAAGGAGACAGCAGGGGGCTTCTGCTTGTCCTTGTTACTAGCGCAAAATGTGGACGCACTGCAAATTAGCAAGGACAGTTTATTATTACAGGTTGGGATGGAGACATATGTGCAAGTACATCCTGTCTCAGAGGCCTCACTTCCTGGGGAAACAAAGGCCCCTGACTGAACTTAATACATTAGCAAGTATCTAATTTTTTTAAAATACAGATGTTTTGAGATATGAAACAATTAAAAAAACCAAACCAGGCAAATAAAACCCCCACCCCACTTTTAGAGTGACTGCATGACTTGGGATAAGTGGCATGGCCCCAGTTTGTATGGATTTGCCTTTGCAAATGGTGGCTTCAAGATGTTCTGTTCCATCGTAACCACTTCACTCTTCCCACCTCCAGCCATCCAGCGCCTTGCGACTAACATCACAAGCAAAGCACGTTGGCATACCCTCTGCAGAGCCTTCTCCTTCGAAATTTCTTCGAACAAGAGTGCCACCTTCTGGCCAATCAAGGTTACAGAGATAAGGAGTTCTTTGCATCACACAAGAGTCCTTTCCATTGCTCTTTCCGAGCTGAGTCAGAGGGTGACAGGATTTGACCCTGCATTCCAGCTTTGCCCATCAGGTTACTGAAGTCATGTTAGATACCTCCTTTTTAGAGTGACAGTAGCCAAGGAAGAACTAAGGAGAGCAGCTTAACAGGCAGACAGGGAGGGCTGTTCTGTATCTCAAGGTGGATGAAAGCTGCACAAAGGGGGTGATTACTTAAAAGAAGGTAAAATGCATGCAGGGTGCCCCTGCGTGTCCACTCTCATTACATTCTCAAAGATGAATGACCAGTGAGCATGGGCATTACGGAACCTCCTCTTTGCCATACACCAGAGTGCTCCCCTTTTCACTACCACCTGACTCCCATTAGGAGGAAGAGATCCGCTTTCCTTGTGGAGGTCAAAGACCAGCCCTGATGCTAAGCTCTCAGTTTAGAGAACTGTGACACAAGACCTTCCGCCAAGCTGCTACCAACACCAGTGGGTTGTGTACCATATGCTGCTGCTGGGATGCATCAAGAGAGGAAGCGTACCATGACACAATCTTGGTAGAAGTTGCTTAAGGATCACAGTGCCTGGATGGCCTATTTGCAAAAACAAACAGACCCATTGGTTTCCACCTAGGCGTAGAGTAGTGGGACACCTAGAACGGGTTCCGTCTCAGCAGTCATCAAACCAAATGTAAACAGCAACTAATGGAGTTCCTTCTACACCTTGACCCTTCAGCTTGAAGCCCAGCAGCCCCTGGGAGGAGTCTTCTCCCAGAAGCATGAGTGCCTCTAGCCCATGTCAAGTTGTTCATTGCATGTCAGAAGGCAGAACAAGGCTCCTCCTCCTGCAGAATCATGTCCCTCTTCTTGAGCTGGAAGGCTAACACCAGGGGTCCCGAGAAGCCCGGCCACGGCAGAGGCTGTCACTGCGCTGCCATGCGCTATGGATCAAGCTCAGGGCATCCTCACATTTCTTCCTGATGGAACTGTCCTCAATCAGCTTGTGTGAAAGGTCAATCTGTACAAACCAAGAAGGGGTAGAGGAGAACAGGTTTGTGGAAGGAAACAAAGCAAAAGGGGCCTGACAGGTTGGTCTGCTGGCTTTAAGAACAGCAGGAAGCATTGAGGAGAAATCCACCATCCAAACCACAGCAGGAGCAATGCTTGGAATTCATCAGGGTTTGAGGAAAGGATGTACAGTGGCACCTCGCTTAACGATGTTAATTGGTTCCCAAAAAAATATTGCTATGGGAAAACATCGCTAAGCGAAACCCCATTTCCCATAGGAATGCATTGAAAACCGATTAATCCGTTCCAATGGGAACGGATTACCATCCTTAAGCGAAAATCGCCATAGGAAACATCGCTAAGTGATACAATGTTTCCCCCATTGGAATGCATTGAAGCCTATTCAGTGCATTCCAATGGTTTTGCGATGTCCATTTTAGCTATTTTTAAAGTGTCTTACAATGTTCAGAAATGGTTTTAAATGCTTGGGATCATTGGTGCACCTTGCAAAAAACTGTGCAAACTTAATTTGGCTTTGTTCTGAGTCTTTGTTAATTTTTGGTGAATTTTTTCTCCCCCATTGGAATGCATTGAACTGTTGGTTTGACAAACTGTTGGTAAGGCACACTTAAAATTGCAAAAACGGAACATTGCTAAGCGAAACAGGGGACCTAAACTGTCATCGCTGAGCGAGGCAAGGTCCCGAACATCGCTATGCAAAATTTCCCCATAGGAAACATCGCTAAACGGAGCGTAAAATCGCTCAAAAAAACCATCGCTAAGCTAATACGTTGTTAAATGAGGCAATCGCTAAGCGAGGCACCACTGTAACATGCAAAGGACTAGACATCATCAGACATGAGCCAGCTCTCCTGGGCAGGACGACAAGGCAGTAGCCAAGCATAAGACAAGAGATGCTACCTGGTATGTACTTTTCCACACAGCATCCAGAGTGGAAAGGAACCGGTCTAGTTCTGCAGTACAACTAAAATAGAGGACCCACGGGGGCAAGTATTGCTTACGGTCTTGGGCAAACTCCTAGTGGCAGACAGAAAGAGAGGAGAAGTCAGTGGCCCTGCCCTTCTTTTGCATTCAGAAGCTTCTAGGTTCAACCCTTGGCATCCTCAGGTAAGGCTAGGAAAGCCTCCGCTCGTGCGCCCCCCCCACTTGAAATGCTGGAGAGCCATTGCTGCCAGGCAGTGCAGGCAGTCCTGGGCAAGATGGAGCAAAGCCCTTGCCTGGCAACAGGCGGCTGCCTAAGTCCTAGGCAGAACTCGGGCACAACCGCCTGGCACCTGGGCAGGCCCTCCTTTACTCACCACCATACAGTACTCCCGGCCAGCCTCTGTGGAGACAGAGGCTACATCTGCCAGCTCGGCTGTGGCCAGTGAGCGGAAGAAGCTAGTTTGGCAGTCCTCGTGGCAGGTGAAGAGCTTCTGCTCTGTGACCACCAGGCAGCAGGGCACACAGGGGGCAGGAACCACCCCTTGGGGGATGACCTGGTGGAGGGAGGGAGGGATCGATTAAGCCCTGTGAACCTCCAGCAGAAGCCTCTGAAAAGAGCCCTCCAGACCCGCTCCAATCCTTTGCCTCCACTTTTGCACAATGGCTCTCAAACCAGTGGCTTTTCTTACCCCTTTGGAGACAGCTTGGCACAGATACTGCATCCAGTCGGCCATCTCTTCCTCGTTCTCAGCACTCAGCTCCAGGGAAGGTCGGTCAGTCAAGATCACCTGGAAGGAGTGGGGCCGGTCCGTGGTGTTTGACCTCCGACACCCACCACACTGCTCTCCCCTGTCAGGAGGAGAGAGAGAGTTGGCTGTTGTGTCTGAGATGCAGGGGTTAGGGCTGAGGGGAATGTGAGCACTCTGGGCTATGGGTGCATGGCTGATACTCACCCCATGTTCACAGAGAGCAGAGGGGTCACATCTGTACGGTCGGGGTACTGGTACAAGATGCCATTGCTGCAGATGAAGGGGAAAAACCTGCTGTGATTTCTTGCTTCCATCCCGACGTCCCCAGTTCAGGGATACGGCCTCTGTTACAATCTAGAGGCAAAGCTGGGCTAGTACTTGTTTAGGGTCCTATTTGTGCTACCTGCTTGTTCCGGGCCAGACAAAACCCCAATGAGTAAAGATTCTTTGAGTCCTGGTGAAGACAGAAAGCCACAGGGGCCTTAAAGAAGTGTCTTGTACAGACGGTGTACAGGGAGGAAGCACAGTATGATGAGAACAAAAGGAACGGATGCAGGTGCCTTTCCATGTTTGGGAGCTTCCCTGGGTCCAGCTAAGCACTGAACAGACAGTTGGCTCTCCCTCGTCCCCAGGCAGAGGGACTCCCTTGTCCTAGGCAGCTGAAATGGTTCTTATAGCCTCCTCTGCCTGTTTCAAGATAGCAATACCTCCTCCTCGCAGGAAAGGGGAAAGTGTTATGTGCTAAAACAGCTTCTCTGCCCAGGTCAGCTGGCTGTCGCCCTGCAACTCCAGGAAATGATGCTGAAACCATACAGGAGGCCACTTGCCATTTTTTTTTCTGTACTTCATGCCTCCCACTAAGCTGGTGAAGTGGCACCCATGGAAGAGGATATCAGTGTGCGGTTCCAGAACAGTATCCTGCCCTATTCTAGGGTTCAGGGTGAGCACACGAAATGCAAGGACCAGCTAGCTACCCACATGGCAGTCCTGCTCGTGCTGCCACTTCCAAGAGGATTACCTTTCTCCAACTGCCCTCCCCGATCCCAGCCCTGTCACAGGAGAGCCTGCGTTCCTGTCAGCTGCGCCTGTCCTTGGGGCCTCACCTGAGAACCACAAAACAAGGCTTCCAGTTCTCCTTGCCCAGGTAATTGGTGCCGGCCTTGTAGTACAGGATGCCTTCCTTTGTGATAGAGTTTTCTGCCAATGTGTAGTGCGAAGGGGTGGGTCCCAGGGTTTCATCCATGGGGTCTTCCCAGTGCACAAGGCCGTAGAAGCGTACAACCACCTCAGAGGTCTGCAGGGGACAAAGCCCATTCCCAACACAAGCATTAACGGCCTCTCATGGCTACAAGAGACATAAAGGGATGAAAGCGCCCTGGGAAGCTTGTGATTGACACCGCGGGATTTAAGAAGAGGGGCCTCTTTTTGGAGACAAACGGCTCCCCTGGGGCCTGCAACATTAGGGGTCTTAGGCACCACAAGATCCCCAACCCCATGATAGCACCGCTTCCTTGGAAAATGCAAACGGTAGAAGGCAACAAGAAGTATAAGATCCAACAGCTGGAGCTGGGGAATCTCTTCCGCTCGATCCCCAAAGACGAAAGGAGAGAGGGAAACATGCCAGCAGGATCATGAGAGGCTCGCCACACTTCCCTGTGGCAGAAGAAGGGCTTCAGGTGTGGTATGTTAGGAAAAGGAGGGCTTGGCTGTGCATTTATAATCTTCTTGCTCATGTACACGAGAGACTTAACCACAGCACCCGCCTCACCTCCCGCTTGGATTCCTGGGCCACAAATTTGGCCAAAGCGAGCTTCTCCATGGTGGCATCAGTCAAGATGCTTGGGTAGGGTGGCTCCCGGCATCCTTTGATCATTGCTGACTTCAGAGCTGCCAGGAAGAACCTGTGGGGCATTGCGGGAGAAGAGGGAGATCAGGCTGCCATAGAGCACCTTGTGGGAGCTGCATATTAGACCCACATGCAAGCAGAATGTGACCCGAGAGCATGGATCCAGCCTGAGCCGTGCATGCAAAATCAAGACAGCAAAAGGAGGTCTGAAATTGTGTTTCTCCCTGAAGGCTTTTTTTTTCTGTCCTAAATGTTGCCAGAAATTGAAGCTTATGGTTTCCAAAGCAGGTGGTGTGAGACCCTAAGAGAGTTCCCAGACCCAAGGCACACCCAGCTGTGGGCTTATGAAGCCACATTAAAAGGCAAAGCAAGAACCCAAACCATGTCAATTTCCACTCCCTTGCGAGCGCCTTTACTCACTCAGTCAGGCTGGCGTCAGATGTGTCCAGAAGGAACTGCTTCCTACGGTTGGTGCAGACCAAGGTCACTGTCTGCTGATCTAGGCCTACCTGTGCCAGGGGAAGCAAAGCATGCTAGGTAAGGAAGATCTCTTGGCTCTGGCACTCCTTGGAAAAGGTCTGGACAGAAAAGCCTCTTGACTGCCACTTTTAGGGGCAACCAAGGTGGGCTCTGGAGGCAGTGTGGCACCCTACATGTTTGTGCAAGTCCCCTGGGAGCCTGGAGTCCTCCATGCCAAATCCACCCCTCAGGGGGTCTGCTCTCATTCCAAGAGACCCCACCAGCACCAGAAGAAGCACAGGCCACATCTGCCCTTAGGAAGAGGTGTCTTGACGTAACCTGGCCAGGCTTACCGAGATATAATCCAGCTCATTATAGGAAACAGCTTCCTCCACCATGTATGGCTTCTCTGCGGCTCCTGGCAAAATATGTGGGGAGGGGGAAGAGCGAGGAGGCAGTCATGCCTGTGCAGTCCCAGGGCAAAGGACATTCCCCCCCCCCCCAGGGACTCTGGCTGACCCAATCTGGCTTAGCAGCACAACCCATGGTGAGGCTTAAACTTCTTGTCTTTCCCCTTGAGAAAGGGTCCGGAGGTGTCCCTAACAAAGAGCTTGGTGAGTCAGGGCTGCCATTCAAAGCAGGCAGTGCTGCTCCTTTGGATGAAGCGGCCTCTAAGGCACTGCCCATTCTCCAGGCAACCAAGGGAAGGAGTGCGGATGTAACTCACAGGCTCTCATGGGGAACTGCACTTGGAAGTGAGGGGGAGGGAAGGGCAGAGTACCTTTGCGGATGAGATACACATAGCAGTCCGTCAGCAGCACGTAGACCAGTTGGAGGTTCCCCTCCATGTGCCCAGTGCTCATTCGGATCATCTGTCCAGAAAAGAAAGGAGACCCCAGTTGAAGCCCTGTTGGAGAATGAACTGCCGACAGGCCACACCTCTGAGAGCCACCCTCTGTTAAGAGACCCGTCCTGTGTCTGTCTCCCCCCTCTCTGGCTCTTCTGGTACTGCTGAGAAGGAACTGGCTCCCTTGCCAAGTGGGCTTCATGACAGCTGTAGCCTCTTGTCCCGCCCCCTCTTCCTCCTAACACTCCACTACGCTCCTTGCCCTAAGAGAGAAAGCAGGATGAAGAGGGGCAACCTCACCCCCACCACGAGTCGCCATAAGGAAAGGCCTCACAGACTGGGACCTACTCGAAAGAGTTGTTCCTCATTCTCCCGAAAGACATGGATCATCAGGAGAAGCAAGTGGTTATTGTCTACCCTGTATAGGAAGAAGAAAAATAGGCTGTTTCTGCAATCCTTCCGGAAAAAACAGTCGTGTTTTGTAATCTAAAGAAGAGGATAATGATGTCAAGGTGAAGCTTCAAGAGTCTTCCGAAGCCTCAGCAACTTTTTGCCAGCCCATACAGGAAGGCACTGCAAGAATCTGAAAAGTTGCCATAAGCAAGACCTTTGAAAAGGCCAGTGAGTCCATCATCTGGCAGGGATGGTATCTGGATTCTGTGCAGCAAGTGAATTACAATGGGTGGAAATTCCAGACTGAATGGCCAGTGTGGACGTATCCTATATTGGGATAGCATCCAAAGAATTAAGACTCTGACCTTCTGGATCACAGTTCTGCTAGGAAAAGCAGCCTAACACCACGTTGTCCTCAAGCACAGAAACACGTGTATTGTGATTTTAAGAAGGGAGTTTTGGTGAGTTAACTGTTTTCCTTTTCACCTCTTCCCCTGCCCTCCTCTGAAACGGGGAACTACCGGCCTTCTTTTGCTGGTGAACCAAAGGCTCATCTTCAGACACAGGCCCTCAAGGTGGACTTACAGCCCCCGGGTCCCAACTGCCCCTTACCTGAACTCTGAGGGGTGGGCTGTCTCAGATGGGCTGCCCTGCCCCTCCTCCACCCCTGAGTCCTCGGCGCTACTTGGGGAGGGACTTTTCTGGTCCCCCTTTACCCTGCTGAGGGCCTCCACCCCGGCACTCTCAACTGCCTCCTCTTCTTCCTCCTGTGAGTCCGTTACTGTTGGCCCAGATGTCTCTCGTCTTCTCCATCCTCCTTCCTCCTCTTCCTCAGCAGCTTCAGGGCCACCAGGAACATGTGGCGGTTGGCCATTCCCTGCAGGGTCATGGTGGCTACCACTTGCTGCAGGAGTGTTTGGACTCTCGACGGTAAAACGGTAGAAGTCCATGGGGGCTGAAAGCCCCTCACTAAAGCCGCCAGGGGGTGGCCCCTCCGATGAGGGGGCCTCCCCTGGAGAATCGGTCCGAAAGGACTGGTCAGGGGACTCGAGGTGGTGGCTCCATCCACGGCCTGTTGCTGGAGCCGAGGCACCCAAATGCCTGTCCAGTGAGTCCATCACTTTGCTCAGTGACCGGCCCACCCGCTCCATGGAGGTGTCCTTCATCTCAGGGATACGCAGCCCCAGCTGGGAGAGCGCAGAGGCCTCAGTGCTCAGCTCTGGGATTGCCTCGGGACCGGATTCCTTCCCTCTGGCCCCGGCACTTGACAGGTTCCCCTCATCTCCATCTTGAGGCCCAGCCTGGGTGGCCGGAATGGAAGTGGGCCCGGCGGCCTCCTCTGATTTGACTTTCTTCTTCTTGCCCGTTTTCTTCTTTTTGGCCAACCTGCAAAGGGGAGTAGCCACGTTAGGCTCAGGACACCATGAAATAAGAAGGCACCTCAGGAGGCTGCAGCACCTGGAGGAATGCAGGCAGGGGGCGTGTTGGCCCTAAAAACAAAGGACAGACCCCACCCCCTTTTTTCTGAGAGACAAGAGGCATTTCACAGAACCTGACGGGTGGAAGCAATCTGGGAAACCAGACAGTCAAACCTGCTACTCAGTGTGGGATTTGTAACAAAAGCAGCAAATGTGACGGTCCTGACAGACAGCCGCACAGCCTCTGTTGAAAGACCTCCAGCCATGCAGAGCCTCCCACCCACTGAGGCAGGAAATCTCACCATCATGCTCTCCAAGCCTTTCTTTGGCTGCTTGGCTCCCATCCACCAGTAACAGGCAACGGTGTTACTGGTGATTTCAAAGTTGTGCTCCGGAAGTCGAGCAGGGAAAGCTCTTGAAGAACGGCTGAGCTGGGGCCACCGACACCTATGCCTTTGCAGCCTGACCTGGTGTGATGGAGGCCTGAGTTTCCCATGACTCAGCTTGCTGGAAGAAGGCTGTACGCACCTGATGACTTCCAGTTCGGCACAGCTCTCTGACTGGTCCGTGCCTTCTGTTGTAACAAGGTCGGCCTTCTCCTGGGAGGCAGAGTGCAACGGGGTCGTTTCAGTGGAGGACGGGGCTTCTGCTTTCTCATTGAAAGGGTTGTAACGCTGCTGTGTTGGGCTCTTGGCAGATGCTCGGCTAGTGTTCAGCTCAGAAGTAACAGAACGTGGGCAGCTGAGGGTGTCTGTGAGATCTCCGTCTGGAGAAGGAAGAAAGAGAACACCTAGTGATCTCCCACAGTAGAGTAACGGGGGTGTGAGGTTGAATACAGATGCAGAGAAGGGAAAGAGTTGCCCACAAGGCCCAAGTGTTACTCTGTGGTACCTCCTGTCAGTTTCACTCCACTGGCACATCCTGATGAAAAAATCCTTGCTTAGGACCCTTGGGTGCCTCCACCAATCTGATTCTTAACTAGTTACTTGGTGAGGAACCACGTGCTGGTCTCAAAGTTGTTAAACTTCAAAACTCTTTTGACTGTTTGTAAATGATAAAACAACCATGGAGATGATGCCTGTCAGAATACTGCAGGCACCAACCTGACAGAGAGCAAGCAAGGATGGCCACAGGCAGAAGGACCTCTGTTTGCACCGTTAAGCCCAGGAAATGGAGGTCAATGGCAATTCATGTTTGAGACTGCGGAGAACTGCCCAAGTATGTCCTTTTTTTTTTTTTTACCAACTCCAGCATATTCTTGTCATCAATGTGTGATAAATTTAGATTCCCTTTTTTAATGCTTTCCATTAGCTTTACTGCTTTCTCTGAGGCAGATGGAGGTCAAAGAAACATTCTCAGTTCTTTTCTCATTTGCAAGTTTTGCTTTCCTGCTCTTCCCTTTGCAGTCATAAGAGCTAGAAACTTAAAATACAGCGGTGAGATTGAATGCTAACATGAGTCGATGGGTTGTCTGCAGCCCACACCCCTTTTACAATCGGTGTGGAAGGAGGCCCTGAGTTTGGGCAGCACTGGGACCTTGGTAAGGGGAAGGCAGCGAGAGAGAGAGGGAGAGAGAGCAAGTTGGCGGCTGTGGCCACTATCCCAAGCCGGCTTGGAAAGAGAGGCTGTGGGAGCAAGAGTTTGCGGCCATCCCATCAGAGAAAGGCAGAGCATGGCAAGGAGAGGCGGCTTCATTCTGGCCTGTTTCCATGCACTGTCAGAACAGAGAACACGGTTAGTTGCCTCGGGCGGAGGAGGGTGATCTCCAGGGCCTGCACAGAAATAGTTGGGCGGCTTGTTAATTGGAAAACTAGAAAAACAAGTGTCTCATGCCTGAAGAGGTGAGGCTGTTAAGACTCCCAGAGACCCCAGGTAGGCAGTTCAGGTGGGCAGACAGACACCAGCAGCTCAGGGAGAAAGCCCATCATCCCCTTAAGGCTAGTTGAGTCACTATCCATACCCTTGGTTAGGTCTGGAAAAAAAAATTAGAAAGGAGGAGAGGGTAGGGGAGACCCTTGCCAAGAGCCCTCGGGCACAACTGTCTCTGCCCACGGGGCAGGCAAATGGTGTTAGGGGCCCACAGCGGCACATGCAGCAAGCTCTGGTGCAGGAGGAAGAAAAACAGAGAAAAACAAATATGGAAAACCAGGCGAGCTCATCCCACCTTCCCAGGCTGTGGTGGGCATGGACGGCACTGCGGGAAAGACATCTCCAAAATCATAATCTATAAAATGAGGGACAAAAATGAGGGTTAGCTCTGTTGGCTCTAGACAGGACGGGGGAGAAGAGAAGGGTTGGGTGGAGCAAGGAGGCAGAGATTGTGAAGGATTTCCCTGTGAAACCTGGTCCCTTCCTGTTTTCCACAAGCCATCGCTCAGTGCACACAAGCAGACAGCACTGGGGTGCCCTGAGCTGCGGAGCGTCTGGAAATCTTGTTGAAGTTCTTTCTGCAATTTGGGGACAGCCCAGGACACTGAATGGGAGACCTTCTCACTCAGCTGGAGCAGAAAGGCCTGCCCTAGAGAAGAGCAACCCCGATTCCACTCCAGTCTTGTTCATTCACCTCATCATGAACTCCAGTCTCTTTCTATCTGCCCACCAGTGCCCTTGCTCTGGCCAGGAGAAGGTTTGCCTTCCTTTTGTCCAAGCAAGCCAAGGAAGCCCCGCACTCTCCTCACACAGGCCCTTTCCTCGCAGAGAGGCAGAGGCTTGACAGGAACCCAAGCTGCTTGGGCAAGGCTGGCTTCTGCTTTCCATGAGGTTGTAGCCGAGAGGCCTCTCATACAGGGCCACTGCTCCCGGGACATGGCTGCTTCCGGGGAGGGTCCCAGCAGACAGCCGTGGCTTCCTCCCACTCCCTCTGTAGACCTGCTCCAACCCCGGTTCCTCCCCACACCGCTTACCCTCACTGGAGGGCGCAATGGCACTGTCGTCCCACTCCAGGTTGGTGGAGGTGACAGAGTTGAAGGAGTTGAGCGAGAGGCTGTCCGAGCCTTGGACAGAGCTGGGCAAGCGATCCTCAAAGTCCAGCAGGTACTGAGGCTTGTAGTATTCCGGCATGTAAGGCGCCAAGTCCAGATAAGGAGCATCCTGCAGGTATGTGCCCAGGAGAGATGGGGGTGGGGAAGAACAGAAGTTGTGACAGAGCATCTCCAGAACCACCACCTTTGGATAGCTCATTCATCTGCCAGGTTGTTCCAGGAATGCCAGCTAAAATAATGGCAGGGTGAGTCAACAAGGACTCCCTGCTAGTGTTCTAAATCCACTGCCAGTTTCATGTCCCCAACCCCTCCCTTCCCCCCCAACCTCAACTTGCATGGTGGGATTCAGTCCCTGTCCCTTTCTGAAGGATTTAATTCCTATTAGGGGAAGGAATTAAAGCTAAGAGAAGGAAAAAAAGATAAGTCAACACACTATCTTTTTTTTAAAGAGATAGGGTGGGGAACAGCAGTGGGGCAGGTTTGAACAGCAGCAGAATGGTGTCATTTTTGTTTCTTTACTCATCATCCCACTCCACTTGCTTGCCACAAAGTCTTCTTGCTTTTAGCATCAAACCCATAAATGCTGTTAACGCAATATGGGCAGAGCGAGGGCTATTAGTATTTTATAAAAAATCAATGTGGCCACTTTATATGGTTGACAGGCTATTCAAATCAAAAGGAAGGGAGAAGGGTATGAGAAAGGTGTGGCTGGGGGGAGAGACAGACAGACAGACAGACTGCCACACTGCAGAATCCAAAAAGAACCAGAAAATTCTTCAGGAGTGTTTGTGCATTTGGAACATGGTGGGCTCTGTGTTGGCAAATGTCTGGAAGAGTGAATACGGGAAGTATGGAGGAGGGCTGCTTCCAAGCTTGTACCACTTCTCTCTCTCTCTCCCTCCCTCTCTCTGTCTCTCTCTCTCTCTCTCTGTGTGTGTAAAAACCCATTAATCTCCTTGTCCTTTGGTGATGGCTCTCTCTCTCTCTCTCTCTCAACAGAGGAATGTCTGCTCACCAGGTCCAGGTCAAACCGAATAAACTCCAGGCCAGAGACCAGGGTGAGAAAGAGGGTCAAGTGGTCATGGCTACAGACAAGAGCATTCCTGTGGGACAGAGAAGCCGGTCATTCAAGGTTTCAGAGGTCCTGTGACTCTTTCCCCATGAAACAAAACTTCCCCAAAAGGATTTTCCCAAAATTGGTCCTAAATCCCATTCCTATCTTTCTCGTATGATTGGAGTCAAAAGGAGCCAATGGTGTGGAATTTCAAAAACAAACTGAACCAGGACATGGTCTGATGCCCTCCATCAGTTGGGATCTGAATCAGCATATTGACATGACTTGTGTTTAATAAACAATACTACACAAGTAAGGCAGGTTTAATGTTATGTGCCCTATAAATCTAATGAGACTTTTCCAGTTACTAAAAGGAATTTCAGTGATGTGGCAAGCTAGAAAGAAGAAAAATCAATAAGGCATACTTTATGTGTTTGTTTCAGATGGTGTTTTGAAACAGTCTGCCAAGCAAAGCATTTAATGGGAACACTTGTAAATATCTGCAGATATGACAATTCAGCAGCACATACTGAAGAACAAAAAAGAAAGCACTAAAACTGCCAATGCAGAGAGTTCAGTATGCAATACCACATGGAAAAAAGGTAACTTAAACACATGTCCCAATTTGACTGTTCTTGTTTGCATTTTGTTGTTTTTGAAAAACAAATACACACAAACTTGTGAAAAAAAATCCAGGTGCGAAAGATAAGCCTCCTTTTCTCAGACACCTTCAAATCTGGGATACACTGCAGGCATTGTCGCTTCCTCTTAACAGTCAATTTCCCATGTCTGTCAGGACTGGGAAGTTTCAATAAAGGAGTAAAAACAGAAAACAAGCCACACATTGGTGTAGTTGGGTTTGGGAGCTTCTCTCTAAATGCTATCTTTGTTCTCCCCCACCCCAGGCCAGAATGGAACATTTTGCCCCCATCTCTTGCTCATGGAGCAGAACCCTCCACCTCCATCAGACTCACTTGACGTAGTACTTGTGCAGCAGGCTCAGGTTCTCCTGGAAGAGACGCAGGTAGCTCTCCAAGGAGTTCTCATTGAGGGCCAGGTACAGCCACGCTCGGCCTGCAAAAGAGGGAGACTTTACAGGAACTCATTCCTCAAAGTGTGTGTGTGCGCGTGCTGCAGGGGTGGTGGTAAATCCATCTTGAACCCTCTGCCCCCCCCAAATTCAAAGGCTGACCAACTGACCATGCCTTCCCTGGGTGTGTTAGTACTGCTTCAGTATGACCTGAAGCTGGCTTGCCACCAAGAGTAGCTGAAGCTCATGTCTGCTTAGGTGGCCTACCATCAGACCTCCCCAAGCCCTTATCCTTCGAAATTTGCAGAAGATGCTGCCTCTGTCATACCAGGCCAGAGCCTTGTTCCCCCCTCCCCTCCCCAGGTCCAGCAGTGTTGGCTCTGCCTGGCTCTCCATGGTCTCTTTTCCACCACCTGTTCTAGCTGGTCCCACTTACAGGCTTCCCCAACCTTCATCTGAACCTAAAGCATGAGGGAAAGGGCTCCCTCTGCCCCCTGTTCTTGGTCTGAGACAGGAAGGGAGGCTTTCACCATCTCTCAGTGTATCTGCAGTTAACTGGACAAGCAAAGGGGAAGCCTGACTTGTCCCCTTTATTTCTTCACAGCCATGTGCCGCTGAAGGTTTCCAAGCAGCGCAGAACCATAACACAGCATACCAGTACAAAACCATATGTCCTTCTTTGAATGTGTTGGGACAAAGCAGAGGGAGGCAGAAGGAAGGTAAGGAGCACAACTGTGCAATGAAAAATAACACAAATCAAAGTGGAGGGAAAATGTATGCTTTATCTGGCATCCTTGAAACTGTTAAAAGGCTTGAGGAACAGAAGACCTTGAGGAGGAGCTGCCGTCAGCAAATTCATTCTGCTGACTGGGCTCCATGGGAGAGAGAACAGGAGAGGCAGGGAGCACCCTCTGCCATCTCTCAAAAGTGCTACCAGCAATATATCAATCAAGGGAGCGCCCCCGTTTGGGGACAAAGAAAACTCTCTCAGGCATCTCAACTGGTCCAGACTCAGCCACAACGTGGAAACAGAGGCCAGCCTCCCACTCTGATCTTTAAGAGCAGGCAGGTTGGAAGGGTGATGGGAGATGGACTGGAATTTCGTCAAGCCACATGGGACCCATGCAAGGCTCCTTTGGCATCAGGCATGCCAGAAGCACTGTTGCCGCCTCCAAGCCCTGGCCTACACTTACTGCGCCCGAGATTTGTGGACACGTGCTCAAGCACCTCTATCTGCTCAATCGCTTCTCGACGGGTGAAGTGGACCACCAAGACCCAGTAGCCTGAAGAGAGATCTTGGAGCCTGTGAGAACAGAAGAACAAGAGAGAAATGGAGGACAACCACCTTTTTAGCTTGCTCACATAGCTGCTGTACTAGACCACAGACCCGCCTGGACTACCTCTCCCTTTCCCAGACTCCAGATGGCTGTGAAACTGGTTCACTCCATCCCGAATTGCATGCCCCAGCTTGCCTATGAAATAAGCTCTACGTAGAACCCTGTTGACATCGTTTCTCTTTACAAAAGCTGAGCAGGTTCTCCCAGTCTGTTACTTTAGTAATAAGAGTCACAACCTCTCAAAGTGAGCCATTCAAAGCAGGCCATTCAGCAGACCCAGCTCTTCTTCAATGATGTGTTTTGCCTTTTCAGCTTTTTAAAGAGGGGAGTTCCCATCTACCAGAGTGGGACCTGAACCTAAGCCTCTGAGGGCCATGCCCCACTTTTTCCACAGTGGTCAGCAATCTTCTTCCCAAGGCCAGGGCACACGGGAACGTTTACTTACCCATAAAGCAGTGCGTGGTCGAGGTGTTCGCAGAGACGCTGCAGGACTGTGTCGTGGTTCCTGATGGCTGGTGTCTCGTCCTCACAGGCAGCAAAATAACTTTGCAACTAAGAATGAGAGAGAGAGGGAGAGAGGAGAAGAAGGATGTCAGCTAATGAGCTAGGAGTGGCATGCCCGTATGATTAACACTGCCTCACAGTGCTGCACTCCAGAAGGGTCAGAGAGACCACAAGGAGTTGAGGCATCTCTCAAGGGTTGATGTGCTCCTACCAGTTCAAGAAAATGATACCCATATTCCTGTCCCAAATTGATGCAAAGGCTGGGACTCCCTGCTCTCTTTAACACTTTTTTAAAAAATCACCATTCTGTAATACTTTTTCTGCAAATGTGCTTGATTCAAGCGATGCCTTCCAAACAGCAAACAGATTAATTTTAAAAATCAGGATTTGGGAATGCAGTAGATCAGATTACAAGGGAGGCTTTGATGACTTAAAGTAGCCATGATGTTGGCAGACGTTACATTTTACATTATTGGTATATGAGACCTGGGCAGTTTCTTAAGCCTCTTTTCAGATATCAGTTGCATTTTGTTTTGGAATCGATTCCGGTCCTCCTGAGGCAAGTGCTGTGGGCATCGGTTTCCCCTCCTCACTGTCATGTGATTGGGATGCAGCAAGTTGAGGGCACCAGGAGGAAACGGAGAAAATACAGAAGGAACCAAGTGCCCACACTCCCAGCATTCCCTATATTGGGATGCTGTGCTTTGATGCACCTGTGCAGGTGGAGTTTTGTCCCAGGAAGACTCCACTGTAGGCCCCCAAGGAACTGAGGAGGGGGAGGGAGAAGAAGATAGGGCTCTTTCCCAGGCCAGGGTTTTCAACTACACCACCGACTGAAAGAAAGGCAGCGCCCAAGCAAGGTGCTGTTATCAGCTGCCGGATCTTCGAACAAGCCAGCAGGACAGCCTGGGGCAGAAGAGGCCAAGCACCCATCCATGGTGGAGCTGCTTACATACCATGAGAAGTGCTCAGGATGGCTAGAGCGCTCTGGGAGCTGTAGCCAATAATGTACAACTTCGAAGTGCTGGTCAGAAGCAGCTAATGCAACAGAGGCAACACCAAGGGACACCAAGCAGGAACCACCAGGAGAGGAGAGGACCATTATCACCAAACCAGTGGCACGAGTGATCCAGTATAGATTTGTGGACCTGGGCAGCTGTTGCCACCCGCAACACTGCCTCAGTGGATGCTCATGTGGCACAGAGCCCGCAAGACCCAATATGAAGTTTGCATACACCCAGGCAGGCCCTGGGCAAGCCTTTCCCCGTGTGGAGGCTCCCTTGCTGAATACTCGCAGAACAAAGAGTGATGCAGGTGTATCACAGCCACCCCAGAAGTCTTTAGGAAGGGCAGGAAATGAAGCCAAGCAAGTTCAGGAGGTCTGTTCACAATCTTCTGTGGACTTTCAGGATTCCTTTTCCTATATTTTACACTCTCATGTACAAGAGGAAAAGAGAAGACTGGGAATATCCCCATCTATATAGAGATCTGGAGAAGCAAGAGGCCCTACATGGACCACAGGTCAAAAGGTCTCCCCTGTGGTACTTAATGGTGCCGAGAAATTCTGGCAAGCAGGAAGGGCGCCCCCCCGTTCCATTCACATCAGTGGCTTCCGGGCAGCTTTTCTGATCAATGGATTTGGGTCCTACCAGTGTTGTAAGAGAAGCCGACCCCAGGGATGACAGGGCAGCCTTTCCCCCTTTGGGACTGTTTCTGTTTGAGTCATGGCACTATTTATAAACCTTTCTGTGGTCAAAACAAACAAGGTTGTGTCAAGAGCCATGCATGTGATCGCCAGAGTTCATCTGCTGTGGCACCAGCAGCGTCATGAATGAGTCCCCACTTGGGATGGCTTGGAGCGGACAGGGTCATTCCATCTGACTGGTGGGAAAGTTCTCAAAGTGAACGTTGGCAGACATTTGGGCTTTGTTATTTAAACTTCCCTCTGCAAAATGTGTTTCCAGAAGCAAGTGCTCTGTTCACACAAAGTAGTTAATCCTTGTTCTCTTTGTGGGGTGTGCGTGACATACACAATTAATCAAAACAAGATATGGGGGACCGTTGGATCTAAGCTCCATGCCCCATGCTTGTAAACCCTGTTCTCACAACTTGTTTCTTCTCTGCTTCTAGGGTATCTGGTATGAACACAAGATGCTCTTCCCCTTGATCCCCTAGTCTGAACAGGGGCAGCTGCAACCTTCGCCCCATATCTAGGGTGGCCTACAGACACATCCTCTCCAGGAGGAAAAGCAGGCAGCTGTATGGGGGTCCTTTAACATCTGTAGCCCCTAGAGAGCAATATCCTTGAGCCTGGCGCTCCCCAAGCCTATTTATATATATTTTATTCATTTATTTCTTTTTGTCTCATTTATTAAGTCACCTTTCTCCCTCTAAGAGGACTCAAGTTTGCTTGTGGCCAAAGATCAGAACACAGCGAGGTCTAGAAAGGCTGCTCATCCATACAGCAGGTGAAGGTGGCTGCAGAGGCTGCTTCCAGAGAGGAAGGCCTGTTTGGCCAAACCCGCACGTACCCTGCCAAGACACCGGAGGGGACAATCCAGCAGAAAATCCTGCCACACATGGATCACTTGCCTGAGGGAGAGGTTGAGAGCCCCCACCCCCGGCATCAAAGCTCCTGGAAATCAGTTCTCTCATTGATGTGAAACTCCTCAAGGGTAACAAGAGGAAAATGTCTTTGCAAGCTTCAGTCACGCTGCCACCCAAAGAAACACCGATGATCTCAGAGGAACTGGAAAACGGTTCTTCTCCATTTCATTGCACTCTCTGGCTTCCCTTTTTTCCTGGTGCCCATCAGGCTCTGCTTTGTGGCCAGAACTATGGCTTTTAGCAGTGTTTACTGCCACAAACAGATGAAGCCTTCCCACTGGTGCCCTGTGCTTTTGCCAGGCGCGGCTCACTTCTCTGCCTGCCAGTGACAGTCTCTCTCCCCCCCCCCCAATAGCACCACCACCACCCTGTCCAATGGAAAATTTCTAGGCTTTAAGTTCAGGCAGGTTCTCCGATCTTGAAAGTTGCTCACTGTCTTTCTGCTCAAGATGCAGGCAGCCTTCATCCATTCACCAGATGATTGCCACCAAGCATAACTTCTGATACAAGCTGGGCCATGTGTACAATCCCTGGAAGCTGTTTTAGAAGTTAACAAAAAGCTGGTCAGTGAAGATGGCTTAAAAGAGCTAGTTAGAAGGACAGTCACAGAAGTGAAGCTCAGCAATCTTGAGCGCAGCTGATGAGATGGGAGTCAAAGCCTTTCTTGTTTATCATCCTTTATTTCACTCCCCCCCCCCCCCGGCACTCCTTCATTCCCATGCATCTCCTGCCCATACAGCAGAGGGGAAGGGAGCAGATTCTGAATCAAGGAAACTGAAGAAGCAACCCAAATGTCACTAAGAGTCACTTCCAGCTACAGACTTGGGGCAAATCATTTGGAGCAGAGAAGATGGTCTCTCCTGGAGGAACTCGCAGGACTGTCTTTTTTAAGCCTCAGGCCCTTCTGGAGGAATCTTCCTTGGAGATGGATCTGGAGCTGCCCAGCATGGTGGAAGAAAGGAAGAAAACCCTGCTTCTGCTGGTGCTGAATACCATAGTGCACCCTTCTACCTTGAGCACGGTTCTCCTTGACCACTGGAATAGTTTCTTTTAGTAAGTCACCTTGAGAGAACAGTTGAAGACATTTAGAATAAAGAAAAATTTGTTTAAAATAGATTTATAACACCCTTCAGCAGCTGAAGTATTCATCCTCCATAACACCACGCCTGGGATGGTGTTTGTGTACAAGTCGAGTTCCCAGAATTCTTTAGGTGAACCTACCAGAGTGGAAGCACATCTGTGATCTTATGGATAACAGGACAAAAACAGCTCTCTGCAAACCACTTGGCGAGTCTTCCTCATCCGCTGTTCCTGCCGAACGCAACCTGTGGCCACCCATGAAGGACTACAAGGATGGAGTGATGTTTTCCTTGCAAGGTGAGTCCCAGAAAAGACATTGGCTATTTCAAAGTGCCTCATTTGATAATTGCAGGGCATTCTGTTTTATGAGCAAAACCATGTAGAGCAGAATCGGCCGGAGAGTTGTGGGTGGGTCTTTGCCTCCTGCTTCTTCTTGAACTTGGCAGGGTGTTGGTGGAAGAATTGCAGAATTCCTGCATTTCTACAGACGGGAACCAGGGCAGGAGACCTTTGGCCCACCAGGTGTTTTAGACCTCAACTCCTGGGATCCCTTACCGCAGGCCACACTGGCTATGGCATCTGGGAACCCAAGTCCCCACATGACCTGGAGGGCCCAAAGTTCCCTATGGCAGGACTGGGTTCAAAGCCACCTGCCTACTTTTTGCAGAAAGGGGAGGGAGGGTCAGCCACTGCACTCTTGACCGCTGGCGCCCCCCCACTGTGACAGAAGCAAAGGCCAATTAGCCTGGGGGGCAGGACAGCCCCAAAAAGTGCCAGTGGGGCCTGGAGGTCAAGCAAGGGTCCAAGGGATGGATGGGCAGCAGAGTGCAGAGGAAGAGAGACAGGAGGAAGAAGAGAGGGTGCATACTCTACGTTTTCAAAAAATATAGTCAGTGATGTTCAAACTTAAGGTGATCCAACAGGAAGATGCCAAGACGGCGGAAGGCCAACCAGGAGCAGTGGTCCAGGGGAAAGGTGGAAAGAAAGGATGAATGGAGCAGGCTTGGTAGCTCAGTCGGTTGGAGTCAAGAGTGGGATTCCCTGGCCCCCAAGTGAGACTGAGCCGCCTGCTGGGCTGGATCCCGGTTCGAGTCCTGCTTCCAAAAGAGCCATCCAGAGGTAGGCTAAATGCTGGCCTGGTCTTGAAATTGCCCTTGGCATCGGCCTTGCCCGAGGACATCGACAGACAGCAAGAGCCCCGAGGCTGTCTCCCAGTGACGGCAGCGCGGGGAGGGAGGGGGGGAAGGAGGGCCTCCCCAGAGCCGTAAGAGAAAAAGAGGGAAACGGGGGGGGGGGTTTGTAAGGACAAGAGGGGCAGTAGGACAGCCCTTGGGAAAAGGGTGGGGGGGGAGAGAGCTCACCCCGCTCCAACCCTCCTGCCCTCCTCCCTTCCAAGAAGAAAGGCATGGATCGCCTCCCCGAGTTCGGACTCGCCGCTTTCCCTCGTCCCGCATCGCTAGCGGCGCCCCCTCCGCCTGCCCGATCTCCATCACCCCCACCCCGAAGAATCCCGCCCGAGCCTGCCTGCCTCCTCCGGCCGGCCTGACCTTTTTGACGGAGAGCGAGATGTTCTCCAGGATGCGGTCCTTGACCTGCCCGGGGGGCTCCATGATCTCTCCCGCCGCCGCCGCCGCCTCTTCTTGCTCCCTTCTCCGCGAGCTCCTCTTCCTGCGGGGCCCCCTCCGAGTGGAAAATTTCAGACATCACTATTTTCTATATAAAAGAATGTCACTTGTTTGTTTGTTTCAAATATTTTTACCCAGCCTTTCTCCTCGAAAAGGACCCAAGGTGGCTTACAACATATTGAAAGGCAGTAAAGTTTGAAACAGTGAGTAAACAACGATGGTTTGTTCTTTCTTTAGTCATAAAGTCATGTCTGACTCTTCGTGACCCCATGGACCAGAGCACACCAGGCCCTCCTGTCTTCCACTGCCTCCCGGAGTTTGGTCAAATTCATGTTGATCCCTTCGTCGACACTGTCCAACCATCTCGTCCTCTGTCATCCCCTTCTCCTCTTGCCGTCACACTTTCCCAACAGCAGGGGCTTTTCCAGGGAGTCTTCTCTTCTCATGAGATGGCCAAAGTATTGGAGTCTCAGCTTCGGGATCTGTTCTTCCAGTGAGCGCTCAGGTTTGATTTCCTGCAGCATGGATTGGTTTGTTCTCCTTGCAGTCCAGGGGACTCTCAAGAGTCTCCTCTAGCACCACAATTCAAAAGCATCAATTCTTCAGTGGTCAGCCTTCTTTATGGTCCAGTTCTCTCTTCCATACATCACTACTGGATGACCAAAGTTAAAAGAGTTATTCTCTCCAGGAAGGCAACAGCATCGCCCTTGTTAAGCCCGAGTTCAGAGATGCATAGGCCTCCTGAACATGGAAGCTTCATCCTTTCGTGCCTTCTGGCCATTGGCAGAGGACGACTACTTCTGCAGGAATTTGTCATAGCTCTTCATTTAAAGCCAGTGCCTTATTATCAAACTTTTTAGCAGGAAGTCCTATAGAGCTTCTCTCCAGGAAGGCAACAGCATCGCCCTTGTTAAGCCCGAGTTCAGAGATGCATAGGCCTCCTGAACATGGAAGCTTCATCCTTTCGTGCCTTCTGGCCATTGGCAGAGGACGACTACTTCTGCAGGAATTTGTCATAGCTCTTCATTTAAAGCCAGTGCCTTATTATCAAACTTTTTAGCAGGAAGTCCTATAGAGCTGTTGCAAAACTAGTGGTTTGTTTGCCCTGGATTTACAGCCCACCAATTTTGGTGAGCAGCCCCAAATCTCCAGTGCACAAAGCCTTCCATGTCTGTGCAGAAACGGCACAACATTCCTCTTTCCAAAAGTGTCTGTACTTCATTTCAGGAACAAAGTTGAGAATCCTATCCTAGATGTATCTGAGATCTCTCTTTCCTCTTTCTCTAGCTTGACCTTTTTCCAAGGGAAATCCCTGGTTGTTTCTACAGTAAGAGCTGCAGAGCGAGTTCTCTTAACAGAAAGTCCTGGCCATCAGATCTCAGAGGTTTGAGACTCCCTTGTCATCTGCGAGGTAGGTACAGTAAAGCCTTTTTCCTTTTCTTTCCATTGAGGAAACCTGACACAGAACTGAACTTCCTTTGTACAGGAGGACACATAAATAGGGGTAGGGGTGCTATCAAGAGGAGGATTCCCTGGCTACTCAGTCATACTGACCACACCATAAATGCCTCCCAGATCTCCTCCTTGGTGCCTGGAAGCATGCAGGGTACACTGTAAACATCTGAACAAGCAAGGTCTATCAGAGAGAATTCCCTGGCTGCTCTGCCACACTGTCTAGGGATTGAGAACAGACTCCCAGGGTGGTGGTCTGGATAATCAGCAGGCTGTAGAAGTCATCTTGTGACCTTGCAGCAGTTTTTGTCTTAAGCAGAACTTTTGCCTGTTGAGGAGCTGTTCTCACCCAATACACAGGACTCTGCAGTGGTTCAGATGGAGGCTGTGCATCGTTACACTTTGTAACAGGGTGGAATGAGATAAGAAATTTAGAACATGTTGTCCTTGGGACACCCTTTGCGCCCTCTGAATTGCACTGGGCCGTTGCTGGGAAGAGCCGGTGGCTCGAGTTCTAGATGGTCTCTTGAAGCCCAGCTAAAATGGAGTGCCCAGTGGAGCAAGGCAGAAACTGTTCAAACTGTTAAGCAGAGAGGGGACACGTTCCCAAGGCAAGCATAAAGATTCGTGCTCCAGGACTGCTGCTCCCAGACTTGCATGTATTTTTGTCAAGAGGGAGGTAGGTTATGGTCCACAAAAGCTTATACCAAGCTGAACGTGCTGGCCATCATCCTGTTCAATATTGTGTGTGTGTGTGTGCACACCTGCATGTGTGTGCCAGCCTTGACTGTAACATCACGGCAGCTTCTGCAGCTGGAATTCAACCTGTGAAAAACACGGAACGGGACCCCGGGTGCTGTTCTTTACGGTGCCACAGGACTATCTGTTGCTAGTCTTAAAAGGCAGCAAGTTAAAACCCTGTTCACAAATAAGGGTTATCTTTCTACCACCACCATCCCTGTACATTTTAATTTCTAATTTGGTCCACCGACATTTCCAATGTTTTAAAACAGGATGTCTGTTGTTACAAGAGCTGGGGAAAGGCACCGGCTATTCACAGGCTGGCACAGGGCCATCGCCGTTGGAGAACGGACACAAATCCTTTTGCAAAGAAAGAAAAACTTTTATTTCTTTCACCAGAAAACAACATCCACCCTGGGGGGTTCATGTGGGTAAAAGTCCCTCCCCAAAGATGAAGTTGTTTTCGTTTTTAAACATTTAAATACCATCTAACAGGCATTTCCCACCAGCCTTGTTTTGCCACCACCGTGAGTGAGCTGGATTACTGACTTTTCACTCAAGACTTTTTGTGCCTGGCCAACAATGGACGAAACACCCTCTACACCACAGATACCGAGAAAGAGCCATTCTGAAACCTAGCAAAACTGCCAGAGAGGGCTGAGAACACTGACCTGTACCAACTGACTCAGGATAGGTCAACTTCCTGGAACAGGTGCACACTGGCTAGCCTCTTAATCTCAAAGGGACCGAGTACTTAACTACTCAAGACAAACCTTGATGAGGATCAAGTACACGGCTACTGATTTGTCAACAAGCTTTTATATTCTTAGTAAAGGAGACGGAAAGGCAAAAGAAAAGCCACATAATTCCTGCCTGTCTTCTTGAAGGTGGAGGCAAGGAATTGTTAAGAGTCCAAGCAGCCAGGTAAACCTGTGTACAAGGCACAGGCTGATTTATTTAAAATCCTTCAGGGTGGTTACACAGCATATAAGAAGAATATGTTATGTACCCGAGTGTCTCACAGTGCAAGTTTGAGTCATACAGACAGAAAGATGTAGTGACTCCACCTTCTGAACCCATAAATTTAATTCTAGGGCCAATCCAAACATGCAGTGCCTGTTGTGAGCAGAACTTAGGAAAACCGGGTGAGTTTTCAGTGTAGCACCACTTTTTGATGTAGCTTGTCTCTCTATTGCACTAGGTCTAATTAGCGCTAGGAACAATAGCTGCTAAAACAACTAAGACTGTTATGTTATATTCTAGAGAGCAGCAAGTTCTGTTAGTCTTTTAGCTACCACAACTCTTGGTGCTGCTCTTGCTGTTACAGACCAACGCAGCTACTCCCATACAAGAACCACTGGCTTCTGAATTTCCATCCCTTTCCTTTCTCTTAGTAGTTTTCAGTACTGCCTGGGATTGTTACGTTGTCTTTTGGACAAGAGCGTTCTTCTGTGCTACATACTGTAAACTATAGATTAGGATTATCTTCACCTTGTCAGAGAACATCAAGTTGTTTCCACCCCACCCATGTCACACCCTTTTCATTTAATGCTGTTTTGGAACTTGTTCATTACGCAACAGCACCCTGGAGCACTGCTTCAGATTAATGCAACCACTCACTCCCTGTCGTATTCCACTGGGAATTAGGTTTCACAGTTGCACTGTAAACAGATCACAGGGCAGTGATGATGCAGCTACACACTCCAGCTGCAAAACAGCCAAAAAGTACAGCATTGGATCATGTCAACCTGACTTGCTTGTTCTCTGTACACAGTGAAAACAGTGTCAGGTTCTTGCAGGGCCTAACGCGACTCACTCAACAGGCCTGTAGGAGATTGACTAGGGTCTCCAAGCATGCCTTTCCGGAGCAGGTTTGACACTACTTCTACTGAAGCAAGTTTTGAGTTGAGATTTATTTATTTATTTGATTTATACCCCGCCTATCTGGACTACCAGTCCACTCTAGGCAGCATATGTTTGTTTACACAAGGCACGGTTTCTCCTCAGGATGAGAGAGGACATTATCTAGAGAAATCCATCTTGTCCAAGCAGTGAGAATCCTCGACCAGGCTAACACCATAGCCCAGAGACTTTTGGGTAGTGTGGGCGACATATAAATAAAATAAAACAAAAAATAATTTAATTGAAAAATTCAGCATAATTCACTTGAGGAAAAAGGACAAATTTCCAGGCTCGGTGTTGTTTGTGCCAGTGCTGACTTGCATGGGGGCTCCAGAGAGGCCCCATGAGCTCAATCAAGGCAGCAAAGGTGAAAGCCAGATTATTCACCCATGTTGCCTCAAATACCCCTCAACGCCCCCAGATGCAAAGCATGTGCACCACCATGCTTAAGGCAAATCTTCCAGTCTCAGCAGACTTGTGGCATGTTCCCCATCTGGAGCGGCTCCTGTGTGTCTCCCTTGGCAAAGCAACACGTGTCACCCTTGAGTACGTGACTGCTGGCTTCCACACCTATTTGCTAAGCAGGTGGCAGTTCCAAGAACACTGTGTATGTGTTTACCCTGCTGAAGCAAACAGGAACACAACTGCTGGTCCTGCACATTTTAGTGGGAAGGGAGAAGGGAAACTCAAGGTGGGGGGAGTCGCATTCAGCAGGATCAGCTCCTTCACACCTCTAACCTTACATCTGGTTCCAGAATCAGGTACTTAAATAAAGATTCTTTATTCCATTATGCATTGCTTAATAATAAAAGCCATTGTTGATACAATACCAGTATTTGCGTCTTTAAAAAAGCTTAAATTCAACAAGGGAAACCAGAATCATGGTACTTTGGCTGAAAATAAGCAATCTTTTCCTCCTTTCTCTTAAAGAAAAGAAATAAGAGTTCAGGCTCCATCATCTAAGCAGGGTATTCTGTGTAGTCAAGACAGACTCTTCAAGAAGGTACAGTCTAGTAGTCAGGCGGATGTTCTTCTCACAGCTATGTAGGAACTACAATACTCTTGGCTAGCAGAATGAGCAGAGCAAGCTCTGCATTCCCACCTGCGTGCCCTAAAGCCTCAACAGCTTCCTGGGGTGTAAAGCCAGCCCTCACAATCTGAGCAATGTCTGCAGCACAAACCGCGGGAGGCTGAGGAGAGTCCACAAGCAGAGACGGTGAAGACTCTACGAGTTCGTCCACAGACCTCTGAAATTCGGTGTCAGAGACATCTTCGGACGTCTCCATTCTTTCTGAGAAGGGACTCTGGCCGCTCTGTGATTGACGCTGCCGGAGGCTGAAGGAGGGAGGCTGGTTCAGCTCTGAAACTTCGCTGCTGAGAACATGGCTGGAGGAGAGATGCTGAGACAAGATTTCTACACATTCATCCCCTTGAATTTGAGTTGAAAAGGCCATAGGGCTAGGAAGTCCAGAGCTGTTCAAAGCTGAAGTTCCCTGGCCTGAGAGTGTATCCTGCTCATGGCTCACGGCCAGTCTATGAATTTCTCTCATTCCAGGACTTCCCATCTCTTCCTCAATCCCCGGCTTCTTCCCTGATGATTCAACACCTGTATAGCCAGGGAAAGTGAGCTGCATGGCCTGGCAGTCCAGGGACGTGTGTTCGTGTTCCTCTCGATAACCCTCACTGTCTGTAGCTTGTTCTTGAGGGACAGCAACTGAGTGGTGGCTGTCTTCCTGCTGGGAAACATTGAAATCCTGCTTGGAGTTGACAATCAAGAGCTGGTGCAGCTCCTTCAAAGCAGAGGTGAGAGAGAGACCCGGTTCTTCTGCCCAGCTATTCAGCTGGCCTCCGGAAGGAGCCTCTGTCAGGCCAACCATGGCTGACATGTCTGTTGATTTACAAGCCACATTTCCAGTTTGCACCAAGTCACTGACAGGCAAAGAAGCAGGGTACTTGGGTAACTCCACGTTCATGGTAGAACATTCGGCCTTTGTCACTGGGGATGTGATGTTTGGGTTATCTAAAGGGTTGTTGGCAGCAACAAAAGCCTCTTTCATGACATCCATTTCCAACAAAGTTTCCCCTTCCTGGTGCTCACATTCTATCTTTTCTAGCCTCCTCTTCTCTGGAGAGAAAATCCTCCTCTCCCCTTCGGTGCCTATTCTTTCATCAGAAAGGTAATAATCCAGGCTTGGCTCTGCAGCAGCAGCAGCAGGTGATGGGGGAAAAGCCATTGTGCCCAGAGGCTCCTCACTGTCTGGCTCAATCAGTTCATTTTCAGGTTTTCTGCATGTCTTGAGATCTAAACAAAGTTGATGTGTTGAATGCTGTTCCACTTGCTTCAGAAGCAAGGGTACATCCAGCTCTTCTGTCTGGCTGTGAGTGTCAGATACGGTACCTTGTCCTCCTGGTTCAACAGGAGACTCCAAATCAAGAGTATCATTTTTAGCATCCGCTTCCTGCAGGCTGCCACAAGTGATGGCTTTTTCAGAGATCATTTGCGAAGGGAGACTTAGACTGTCACAGGACATTTTTCCAGTTTCTTCAGCTGGAGAAGCACAGATATTGGCAGAAACAATGTGGTCAGAAAGATCCAGCATGGATGGAAGCAGCTCTTTGCTTTCCAGAGCGACTGAGTGTTCATGAAGATAATCCACAGACTTTACCGCCCTAGGCTTAGCAGTCTCAGCCTGGCTGCTCCCTTGAGAGTAAACTGAAGGGGCAGAGACTGAACGGTCAAGTAATCGGCTTGCAGGGTCATTGCTTTGGGGACTGACCTCTGGAAGGCGGGCTGGATGTCGAAAGCCATCTGAAGATGGTACGGATGGTATTCCGAGTGAGGTAGTTTCTTTGTCACTATTCTCTGTACATGGAAAAGGAGAAAGAGAGAGAGAAAGAACACATCAGGCTGGGATCGGTTGCACTGTATTATCTGGAAGCGCCTGCTGCAGGCCCCATCTTCTCCACCTAGCCATCCTTCAGCAACCTGAGAGAACTAGCCCCTGAGCGTATTCATTTTCCACTTCCCTCTTCGCCACCACACTCTTTTTTCTCCATCATCGAGCCATTTAAACCCTGCCCACCCCTTTTGGCATCAAGTTTCCAAAACTGTCCGTGATCTTCAGTCCTCCAGTAGAGAAAATATATACAAATGTACAGTAGTGACTAAGGGTGTGGGAGAACTGCTGAGAGGAAGAGAAATGAGACTACAGAAGGCTGTAACCTTTTTCCTCATTCGTCAAGAAAATTCAATGAAAATGTTTAGGGGAAACTTTATCTTTAAGCGTTTACAAATAGGCTATAGATATCTTAGTCTGGGCACTTTATCTCTTCCTAGAGCAACAGGAGAGCTCAGTTTCAAATTAGCTTGAGATGGTGTAAAGATTCAACAAACTGATCCTGTATGTTTTACTGGACTAATTGATGAGAAACAGGGTTCCACTCAGCTCGACGTAAACCTTTAACAGCCTGTTCCGGCATGATCACGTATAGTTCATCTCAGCTTATGAAAGTGTACAGCACAGGGTTAATCTCACCCTTTCCTCTCTAGTTAATTAGCTTTGCATTTTGAACCTGATTCATTCAGCAGAGAGCAGATTTTATAAGCAACCAGTTCTGAGGACTGCCTTCAAGAACTAACTACTCATATGAGAGCCTAGGATTGTGCAGCACTGGCATCTTACCTTTCTCCTTCCCACACCAGATGATCTGGATAAAGATCCAGGGAAGATTTTTACCTACCCAGTGGTACATTAACTAAGATGGCATACTGAATCAAGGACCTCTGTGGATGCTCTGAAGTTTCTGCGCTCTCCTTTCCTCTTCTCCCCTCAGCAGATGTCCGAATTGCACAGTGCCTGTAAGCCTGCTTGTTTCACAGTGACCCGGCAAAATGCCCCTTGAAAATCCACATCCCACCCTCTTCATCCAGGAGCAAAGAGATGGGAGGAGGAGCTGGCAATACCTGGTCTGTAGCCCATTCCAGCGGCAGCAAACCCATATTGCATGCATCAAGGCTTCTGGCGTTCTGTTTGGATTAGGAGACAAACACACCAAACTCGTGTTAGCACACACTGCATGCAGAAAGTGCTGGAACCCGCAACCTCTTGTGCAGTCACAACCGCCACAGCAACCCCTCCCCACTTGGAAGTCAGTCCCTCCTTGAGTTGGCACTTCCTCCATCAACAGTGTTCAGCTACTCTCCTCTCCTCATCGCTTCTGCTGAAACGTGTTGCTGCTGCTGCTGCTCTCCTGCCAAGGCTTTGTGCGTTCAGGCCATGATGCATAGCCAGGTGAACACCAGTGGGGCTGTTGGTTTCTATTCTCAACTACCATTGGCAACTTCTGCTTTCTGCCTTCTTTCTGCAGCTTTCCTTTCATCTCTCTCTTTTCTCCAGGTGGCCCAGTGGAGACAAGGCCAGCCTCAAAGGAAAATGTACAAGAGAATAGAAAACTTTAAGAGGAGAAACAGCACTTTCAGGCCATCAGCTCTGCTGCATAAATGTGGGGTATTTCACGTACAACAGGATGCCAGATGTCAGAAAAGAATCTTGGACAATCCAGCCACAACCCTCATCTTTTGCTCCATCTCCAAGACACTCCGACACAACTGTTTTCTGTACAGAAACAGTGTCCCACCAAGCTCCTGTGCTAACATTAAATACCCCAAAGGGAGGCCAGCAGATTGTCGGCTTGACTGAGAAAGGCAGTCTTTCTGGGACATTTGCCTCTTCTTCTGGGCTGGCTCGGCTTCCTTCCCTGCCTTCTTGCCCTCTAGACTTGCTGCTCTTCTGAAAAGAAACTCTCTCGGATGCTTCAAGAACTCCATCATCTTCCTCTTGGCTAAGGATCTGACTTTGGCTGGCTGGATGTGTTCAGACATGCAGGGCGTACTTATGTTTCTCACTGATATCCCTAATGGACTCGTCTCCATAATTTGCTGCGAAAGATCAAGATTGAGAAGGTGTTCACGAAGGGGGCGGGCGGGCTGTGTGTTAATATTGGCAAGTTACGGGATTTAACTCCCTGCTCCTCTGGTTGTCAGTTTAAATGCCCAGTCTCTCTTTTTCTGCTTTTCTCTCTCTCTTTTTTGCAGAACAAATAATTCAAAAGGAACATGCAAGATAATTTTCTCCTTATTTGCTGAAAACATTGTACAAGGCAATCCCAGATCTTTAGAGAGCAGGCAAGAAGGGGGGAAATCATCATAACATGGCTTTTGGAAGATGACAAATGTAAAAAGTCAGATTTGGGCCTTAACTCATTAAACAGCCTATTAATGCTGCAGAATGAAGCCCATGTGCAGGATTGCAAGATATAGGATGAGAAATAAACACAGTTCTTTATGCTTACTGGAACTAATTAAAAAACACCCTCCCTCCTAGTGAGCAGGTCATGCTAGGTCAAGTAACCAAGCCTCCCTAGGGCAATCAAACTCTTTGCTGCTGCTCTCCTAGACAGAAGCAAGGCGGAAAGTTTTGACTGGACTTGGGAACCCAGGAAGCTGCCTTCAACCAAGCTGGACACCTGGTCCAACTTCCTCAATAGAGCCCACATGGCCCAGCAGCAACAGCAAGTAACCGGACGTGGCTTCCCTTGAGGCCCAAAACAAGAAAAGACTTGGATGCCTTTGAGGTTGCACAGTGGCGCTGAGAGTTTCACTCCACCAAGTGGAACACAGTCCTAGGATTTCAGATCATTGCCCTAGCAACCAGATGGGCATTGATGCCAAGACTGGGCCAACGCTGGGCCCTCTTGCTGCCTAAGCTGCACCCTCGGGCTTTTCAGTGAACCCCCTCTTTGTTGATCCAGAATGTTAGGTGTCGAAGTACTGTGGATGAAAACTGCAGCTGCTCCCAAAAACCTATGACAGCTGCTAGAAAATTGAGGTGGGGTATGCCCACACACTGTGGACACTGGCACAGGATAGCACCTAAAGGTCCCCCAGCCATGTGGCCACAACATCCTGAGGTTATCTTATTGGTTGGACCTGCTTCTATTCTGCAGAGCTGATGGCTGGCTCGCCACTCTTGGCTCAAAGCTACTGGGCCGAGTTTGACTCCTCAGGGTAGCCTAGCGAGGTCTCTCAATAAAAGTGGAGGCTAAATGAGATCAGTTAAGAGGGGAATTTTAATGGCAGAACAAAAATACAGAGCGATTTCCTGGGCCCTCCATTTAGGGCAAGACCGCAAGAGGTGGGAGAAGCCCCATCGTCTTCTCCTAGAAGAGGATGCATGAGACCCTACGGCAGGTCAAGAATCCTGAAGTTGGGCGACGCGCCCTCACCCTGGTCCTCTCTTCTTGTTGTCTGACTTGTTCCTCAGGGATACGTCTGGCTGCAACTTGCATTTGCAAAAAGGAGACGGAAGTGGGTGAAATCATGTTTTGTTGATCTCAAATGAATAGGGATGGTCAAAGCTACTTGCCCACAGAACTGCCTTTATTAGAGTGTGCTGTTTATATACTGCTGCATTTAACTGAAAGCACTCTCTGGGCAGTTTACAAGTTAATTATGCAGGCTAAGCTTTGGCGTCTCCCCCCACCCCAGCAAGCTAAGTACTCAATTTACCAACCTGGAAAGGATGGAAGGCTGAGTGAACCTTGGGCCGGCTACCTGGGATTGAACCTTGGTTGTGGGCAGTTTTGGCTTCAGTACACTGTGCTGCAAGACTCTGGCCACAAGGCTCTAGGCAAACAAGTCCAGGAGTGAGGCACCCCTGGTTTGTGTGTGTGTGCTAAATGGGTCCCGGCCTGTGGCAATCAGCTGCTGGTCTATGGGTGGCCGCTCAATAGGTTGTGGGCTAGAGCCAGGGCTTCTCTTTCGAGCTACTGAGCCCGGTGTGGCTTGTGGTTGTGGTGGCTGAGGCCTTTTGAGAGTGGTACTCCAGAGCGGTCCAAGTGCTGACTCAAGCCATGGGTCCACATCCACTTGAGGGTTTCCCAAAAGTCCTTGTCTTTCAGTTTGAAGTACCCTACAGTAACCCTAAACCAATACTTTTTTCTCAGGACATAAAAACAAATAGAGTTGCAGTTTAAAAGATATTAATTTGTTAGAATAGAAAACATTTTTCAGTGATTAATCAACTAAGTCAACATCCTCAATTAGGCACTTTTTAAAAAAAAGTTAGTGTTCACAGAAACGGTTATAGCAAGCACCATCTGGAAGAGCTGTTTGTCTCTCACCATCCAGTCCAAAAGAGCACCAATGGCAAAACTAATGGGCCGCTCAGAATCATGTTTTCTCATAAGGAAGTTTACTCTAATCACTGGAGATTAAGCTGACCAGAAGCCTTCTGGTTAACTGGTAAGGTTTCTTCACTTGACTAATTACCAAAGACACAATGCTGGTTTCAAAACAACTGTTATCATACATCCGAGCCCAAGCCTAAGACTACAGAGTCTCTTTTGGACTGACCAGAAATCTCTTGATCATTCTGTTTGCCTATAAGACCCGGCTTTGCTTTGAGCCTATTTGCCTATTCCTATCCGTGGTGCAGCCACACCCTCTTTGTGTAGACTTTGGGAGGCTCCTAAGCTACGGGCTTTCGGCAAAGCCAAACGGTCTTCACAAACAGCCTGAGCATATCCAGAAAATAGCAGCCTTGCAAAAAATCTGGAAAGGGAAGGATCAAGTCTCCCCTCCTGTCCATGTGCCTCTTCTCTCTACCCACTCCTCCTCCTCCTCCTCTAGCCCTCCTAGGGTACCTGCATCCTCAACGGACTTCTGTAGGGCTTCTGCCAGCTCCTGGTCTGCAATGTCCTCGGGACGTATGTCCTCCCGCCCAGCCCCATAGGCCAGCCTGGCACACTCGGGGAGCTCCCCCTCAGGAAGGAAGGTGGTCTGTGAGCCCGTGGTACCAATCACCAGGACGTTCTTCTTGAGATCTATGGAACACTGGGGGAAAAGATGCAAAGGCAGCCATTTCAATGGAGCCTGGAGGGGCGCAGGACAAGAGCACACCCACACCCACAGGAGAAGCAGCAATAGCTCTTGCCTGTTCCTGAACAACTCTTCCTCTTGTCCTACCTCACGGAGGCCAGGAAACTGTTTGGCTTTAATAGAAGCCACCTTCCCACAGCTGGCAGCCACACAAAGTCCCACCACCTCACCTGGTGCCTCTTCAGCATATCCAGTCCCAGGAGCATATCCATGGGCTGCTCCTCCAGGATGGAGAAGGAACAAGGCAGGAAGTCCCCTTCGATCTGAACTTGAGCTAGCAGCGAAGGAAGAAAAACAAGGGGGAGGCCTGTTACGTCTATGTGAAGGCTCAGCCAGGGCAAATCCTGCCAGGTACGAAGTGGTGGTGGCAGCGTGCAGCTGTGGGATGCCCCCCACCCCCGTTCACCAGCTACTTACCAAGGTGCACCCTTCCAATGATTTTCTGGGTACCCACACCCTTGGCAATGCCTGCCCACCGCCGGTCCACCAGCCGCATGATGTTGCACCGCTCGGCACATGCTTGGCTCATTATGGTCATCTGGGCACCTGCCAGTGGGAAAGTATAGCATGGTGACAACCCCCACACACCACTTCTATTAAAACCCTTCTGCTGGGGAGGAGAGGACATAGAAAGGAAGCCTGTCCCTGCTCCAACTCCACTTGGGAAACATTTTACTTTGCAGATCCAAGAGCAGGGAGCCACATGTGCAGGCATAGAGAAGAACCCTAACTGAAAACCATAAGAGCAGGAGCAGTGGCTGGCAAACACAAATCCTTCCATATCACAGGGTGGCAGGAAGAAAGAGATGCACCTATCACTCAACACAGCCATCTTCCCAACAGGGTTCACTACAGATTCCCTGGACTACAGCTCCCATGAACCCATGAGGTGACATACGTTCTGGTCTGGCAGGGGCCTTCAGGTTCAACTGCATCAAGCAGAGCATCTTGAGGGTTTCTTCCACCATCTGACCACTGGAGATCCTGTCAGCTCTGCTCAAATTCATCACCTCTTCCTGAATTTATGGCCCCTCCCTCCAGTAAGGAACAATATGGAGCTATCCCACCCCCCTGCAGCCCAAGAGATCCTTTCTGACTTGCAGCCACAGCAGCCGCTCTCTCTTCCTCTTTGCCTACTGCTGCTTAGGCCTTTTTGCAGGAGGTGCAGACACTGGGGAAGCCTGGAACTTCTTGCATGCAAGGAAGAGGCCCAGCTATGTTGCAATGGCTCTTCTGAAAGACAGGCAAAGAGGCTGAACATGCTCTATGGGCCAAGGCCACTCTGCATGCCATGCAAGCCAGAGAAGTTAAAAAAAGGAAATGAAAAAGGGGACCCAGAGCAAGGCAAGGAACTAGGAAAAACAGACCTGAGTCCACGAATGCTTTCACCGGATGGCCGTTGACCTTGCAGTTGATGTAAAGCATCACCACCTGGCCAAAACTCTCTGGAGCTTCCTCCATGGCGATGGTCATGTTCTCCTCAATGTTCTGCTGCCTGGACCCAACATCAGAGCAAGACTGAAAACTTGTCCCCCATCCTCGGGCTCCTAGCTGTACAGCCAGCCAGCTGGCCTCCCTCCCTCCCTTTCCCAGCTAGAAGGAGATTCCAAGGAATGCCACTGGCTGAGAGTGTCAGAGAGCAGGAGTGGACGGTGGCAATCCTGCTGGACTCTTCCAGAACCACGGCAACCTCTTTCCTCTGGGATTTCCCACCTGATGTCCTCTTCAATCTTGGCCTGAGCTTCAAGGTCAAAAGGGTCAGCGGAGAACAAACGAATTCTCTCCTGCTCCCGGCGGGCTCGATCCTGCTGCTGCTCTACTAGCACCCGAGTGAATCGCTCTAGAACAACAAGAGGCACTTGCACAAAACAAGATCCACCGGCACCCCTACTAGTTCATGTGAGTGTTCACACTCCTTGTCCGGAAGACTTACAAGACCTGCAGCATCCCAACAATCGCTACCTGTCTGGAATGACACAGATGCCAGAGGCCTAGAAGATCAGGGCTCTGACACTCCTGCCTTCCTGTGCCTGGAGAACCCCAAGCAGCTTGTCTTCTGCTGTTGCTGCTGCTGCTACTGCTCCACAGGCCCCCTCCCCACGAAATACTCACCCAGGTCACCACTGAGCAAAGCCTCTGCAAGGGGTGGGTTGCGCTCCTTCAGCAGGGAGAGTTCGTGCGGGTTGGCCAGCAACATGTCTCGCAAGAGAGCTGGGTTATCCAAGCCCTGAGGGGAGGAGGGCAGCTCAGGAGGAGATGGTCGAGGGCGCAGGCCAGGCTGCGGCTGCTGCTGCGGCTGCAGTGGTGGTGGTGGTGGCGGCTGGGAGGGTGTGCTGGAAGAAGTCCCAGGGACTGTGATGCTGCTGAAATCTATCCTGGGCAGGCCTGGGGGAAAGAGAGGTTAACAGGGTGGTCACATGACTAGCGACATTTTACCCCCATGGAGGAAGCCAGGCTGCTGCTGCTGCTCCCCAGGTGAGCCTCAAGCCTCAGGTTAACAAAACAAGGGTTTTGGTCCATCGTTTTTTACAGCTGGCTCACTAGATCTGACTCCTCTCTTCAAAACACACAATCGGCAAATATTAAGGGCAACACCAGGCCATTAAAGGACTCCAAACTCTCCCCCTGCCCGACAGATGCTGAAATTGGGGGTAGTTAGAAGGCCCTCAGCTACTCAAAAACATTAAGAACCCATTCCCTTTTTTCCTTCCAGGTCTGCGGCTGTTAAGGTCTCACCAGGAAATGGGACGGGAGGCCGAATGTTAGCATTCTCCACTTGCTGCAGGATCACCACGTCTCCATCTTTCAAGCCATAGGAAGCCAACGATCTATGATTGTCAGTCAGGGGCTGCTCTGCGTAGACAATCTAGGAGAGAAAAAGCAGCAGGTGAAAAAAGGCAGCCATAGGCGACTGTTCAGAAGGAAACACCAAAGAAGTCTGAGTTCATAAATTCCAGTGCCAGGATCCTTGCAAGAAGGGAGATACATCTCACTGGGGAGACTCAAAGAACTGGTCAGGTTTGGTTGTCGGAGAGAGGATTTTTTTTCTGAGCAAATATCCTCCCTGCTGATAACCAGAACACAGCAAAGATGGGTGGAAGGTACATCTAGCTATAATGGAAGAACTCTGGGTGGCTTCCAATAGATGAGCAAAGACTTTTGGCTGCCAACTGCAACAAAACAATGCAAGCCAACACATGAGCAACAGGAACAAAAACCACTGTATACCTGAAGCCAGAATTGTACCATGTTGCTCCGAAATGGTACTTGTTTTATTTCATGAAGAACAAGGCCCTGGTGAACACAAGAGAACATTTTCCCTTCATCCCATGAAACCTCAGTTATCAAGTGGGTGTTTACACAGACAGATACCCCTACATCTCTCTCGCGCCCGCCCGCCCACCCACCCACACCGAGCCAGCTGCCCTTTCACNCACGTTACCCAAACCAGTTTAACCAGCCATAATTGCAGATGAGGAAAGCACAAACCTTTCCACAGCTTCTAGCTCCAGACACTATTGCAGAACCATATATGCCAACCACAATGCTGACCCCCTCCCAACAGTTAAACAGAAAGTGCCAGCCTGGATTAAACCCACAACTGAAAGGAGAGGAGGACCTGCCTTTCAATTTGCTGGAGGTACAGACTGGGCAAGGCCAACCCAGGGCAGAAAATTGCACCCAACTTACATGTCGCTTTCAGAAAAAGGGCAAGGTTCAAGATAATCAACACCGGCTCAGGATGCAAGCAGTCCTCCCTCTAGGAGGTGAGCACCTCTACTTCGGGGAAGTGGCCTCCCACGCCAGGCCCAGGACACCCCTGCAACCTGGCACAGCGAACCCTCCCCCCCCTCCGAGGCGTTTGCATACAGGCACCCTCCCTGAGATCTGCTGCATCATTAAAGTGCACGATGGGAAGACTAATGGAGCTCCTCCGGATCCACCCCCACACTTAAGCAACCCGGACAGGCTGGCAAGCCCAGCGGGGTTTCCTGGCCCCACAAGGAGGGGAGGGGCCAGGAAACCCCGCCAAGGCTGCTACGGGTTCAGTGTTCTTCTGGGAGGCCTGGCCAGCTCCCCGGTTTGGCTAGGAGGCACCCCCTTGATGTTTCAGGGGGCCACCTTCCCGCAGCCTCATTTTCCACCCTTCCTCTGACCATCAAGAGCACACAAACATTTCTCTTTCATCAGGCAGGCACCCTCCGGTCACGTGTGCGTGTGTGTGGGTGGGGGGCAGAAGCAGCTGAGACACCAGAGAGTCCCAGGCATCTGCAGAGGGCCCAACAACACATTGCTCAACCCAGGAAGCCGTTGAGCCAGGTAAGGGAGGCTGGACGAACAAGGCCGAGAATTCACAGCCTCACACTCTCCTTAAAAATAGACAGACATGATACTCTGGCGCAAGAGACAGGAAAAGGTTGTTCCAGGGCGACTGGAGAGGAGCTGGACTTTGGCCACTGGCACCCGGCCACCTCACAGCTCCTGCTGCTAAAACATGGATATCTGTTTCATCTGGAGAGGACTCGCTCCAGGCCCGGGGGCCGACAGGAGGGTTCCTCTCACAGATCAGCAGCTGCAGCCCTTGCTTGAGTCAGGGGTGGGCCACGTCCAGGCCTCCAGGTAGTGTTGGGGCTGTACCTCTTGGCATTCCTCTTGTCCTTGGCTAGGCGGGCTAGCGCTGCTCCAAAGCATCCCAGCACGGGAGCACACCTTAGAGAACACTGTTGGACTACAGCTCCCATCATCCCCCACCACTGCCTCTCCTTGTTAGGCCTGACAGAAGTCATGTCCCAAGAACAGCTGGAAGGGACGCCATCTGTTGCTTCCTCTTGCTGCACTCTGAGAACGGAATTCATCCTGCACTCATCCTGGATGAGGAAAGCCCTTCCCAGAAGATCTGGCAAACAAGTGGCAGCCGAGGACACACCCCGGATCGTACGACGCCTCGGCCCTCACAAGACCAACCCCACAAAAACCAACAGCCTCTGTCTGCTTCACAGGGTACAAGAGCAGAGCCCAAGGGGGCACAACAGCTAAGCCGACCAGCAAGAGCAGCTCGAGCGTAGTGGCTGCGAGGCACCAGCTACGTTGCCCCTTCCCCTCCCTTATCAGTCAGCAAGGGTAAGGGGTGTTGCAAGCACAGAGGCTGCTGGCACTGGAAAGAGTGGCCAGTTCAAACCCTCAGGCACTCCCAAGGCTAAATAACCCTGCCCAGAGTCTGGAACCTCTTAAACACTGAACAAGGCAAGAGGTCTTGAAGCTTTAGGAAGGAAAAGCAATCCCTTAAAAGAAAAGGAAAAAAAAATTGAAGCAGCCTGTAGACTCCCAAGTTCATTTATAATAAATCCTCATTTAAAATAAATCTCTTCCCAGCAAAACCACAGCATTTATAGCTGGTCTGAAGGAGACGCTTGAGGAGAGACAGGACTGAAGCAGCCAAACACAGTAAGACTGAGGAGTCCGTAGCATCCTTTGGCTTAAGTGAAAAAAAATCTAATGGAGAGGATGAAATCTCGGCTTTGCTTGTCGACTTCCTGGCAACCAGTGGGTTTCCCTCACCTGATCACGACCCAGGCTCTGAAGCCAAGGCACGCAGGCGGCAACACTGGAGAAGGGAAAGGACACTGGCTGGGCCTGGTCTAATGCACCCCTCTCAACCCCCACGGGCAAGAGGGGCACCAAGGGCAGAGATACACGGGGCACCTGCCTGCTCACCTGAGGGCTAGTGGAGCCAAGGGCTACCCCCCCACCGTCCATCTCCCTTAGCCCAGCCTGCTCCGCAGGGCAGTACAGTGGGGAGGACTACCATGAGGCCACGGGACAAAGATGATGCGAAAGAAGCTGGCTAGGCCTTGATCCCGACAGACAGACACCCACCCACCCACCAAACAGGGTAATCATCCATTCCATACCAAGGGGCAGAGAACAAATGGAGGCAGCCCCCCCCCCGCTTCATTTTATGGACCTCCAGCGACCACCTCTCTCAACTGGGGGCCCAGTGAGAAGCCCCCTCCTTCCTTCCTTCCTTCCTAGCCGCCTCCTCAAACAGGTCTCGTCTCCCCCAAATTGTTCAAGTGGGATTTCTGGGTACGTGGGGAAAAGGAGGCATGCCCAGGGGATTCTGGGAATTGTAATCCAGCCCATGAGGGTGGTGCTGGTGGGGTTCTGGGAGTGGTGGCCCAGCCACGAGAAAGGTGCCAAGTTAGGGAACGGGTGGCCTGGGGATCGTGGGAGTTGTAGTCCAAAAGGTGAAGCGCAGATAGGCGGGTGGTGGTGGTGACAATGCTTTGCAGTATTTCGGGGCACCGGCAAAGTCTCGCCCTCCTCGGGTTCGGCAGCTAGGGCTGACGGGTGCTCCTCTCGCCCCTCTCCCACCCACCCAGGCTCCCCAGGCCTCTCACTACAACTCCTACCCCCCCCCCAAACAACCGGGTATGGAATCTGGGCCTTGTAGCCTCGTCCGCCCGCCCGCCGGCCAGGCCAGCCCTCCCTCCCGCTGCCCGGGGGAATCATGGAGCCAAGAGTAGCCCCCTTCTTTCCCCTCTCCTTCCTTCCTTCCCTCCCTCCCTCCGTCCGCCCGTCCCCGGGGAGGCCCCGACCTGGCTCTCGGCGGCCGGGATGCCGGACTCGAGCTCGCAGAGGGCGCGGAAGTTCTGCAGCTCGAAGTCGGCGTCCACCTGGAGCGAGAAGGTGAGCTCGGAGCGGTCCCGCCGCAGGCAGAACACCGTCAGCAGCATCGCCGCGCCCGGAAGGAGCGACGGAAGAAGGCAGGCGGGAAGCGCTGGCGGTGCCGGACGACGACGACGACGACGCCCGGGCGAGCCCAGCCCGACCAGTCCCGCCTCGGCACAGCAGAGCACAGCACCGTCGCCGCCGCCAAACAGGCTTCCTTTACGGCCGCTGCCGTCGCAAAACGGCGCGCCCCACGGCGCGGGCACGCCCACGGCCTCGCCACGCCCCCTCGGCCAAAGAGAGAAGGCGGAAAGGACGCTGGCCACCGCCTCCTCCGGTTCTCATGGGAGACCCGCCCAGACCTCGGGGAGGGAGGCCTCGGTCGCCCCCTGGCTCCCAGCGCCCGCCCCCCCCAAGCCCTCCAGAGGGCTTCCCCAGCATCCCCTCCAGGCCCATACCTCTGCCCCTCCCTGCACCGGGCCCACGAAGGCTTGCTCCCGAGGAGACCCACAACAGAACGGTGGGGCACCCCAGTCAGGCTGGAGGGGAAGCTGAGGGGAGCTTCTCCCTGGGCCAGGCAGAAGCTTCCGCCCTCCAGGCTCGTCCTCCTCTGCACTCCAATCCCATCTCTGCCTTTTGCCTCTGGGCCTCCTGAGATCTTCCTGCCCCCTCATTCCACTTAAAGGGTCTTGGACACAAAAAAAGATTTTTTTAAAAAAAAATTGAGGTTCTATTTAGCTAAATAAGAAAAAAGGGCCATTTTTTAGTTGCCAAAGGTGACCACAGAAAATCAGTGAGTTAACAGGTCTCTAGTTGGGACCTACAAGCGGGATTTAGCAGTTCAACAGAGATCCCCGGCTCCCTTGGGAAGATGTGTGAGAATGGGGTGTCACCTTTGCCGTCACACCAGCTCTTTATTCCCTCAGGACCCAGTAAGAACAACTGACAGGAGGATGAGGGGGAAGCCAACTTCTTTTATTTTGGGAAAAACAAGAACAAAAACAGAACGACCCAGAGACAAAACTAGTAGTGATGAAAATGCTTCCACAACACGGAGAGAGGGGCTGGCCTTGAGTTACAGGTTGCAGTTCATCCAGGCCTGATCGCCGCCGCCGCCCCCCCACTGCAAGAGATGTGCATTCCCCACACCCACCCCAAATCAGCTTCTGGTCCCTAGATCCTGAGGTCTCCAGTTGACCGAGCACTTGTCCTGTGGCCCAGCACCAGCCACCCTCCTCAGCCTGACAGCACAGTCTTGGAGGAGGTGGCTCCCACTTTCTTTCTGCCCCAGTGATCAGTCCGACTTCTCCTTCTCTTTCATGTGCAGGAACACGATACTGAAGAGGAAGAGGCCCACCATCATGGAGAAGGCACTGGCGTAGTAGGGGTAGGCTGAAGGGATGAAGCGCTCGTACTGCGTGTGTTGCAGGGGGCGCACAGACACCTGCCCAAAGAGAGCAACACAAAGTGCACTGTCAGAGGAACCAAGCCCATACCGAGCCCCCAGGGGTAAGGACGGCTAAGGGCCTCTCCTCCAGACAGGGATCTTACACAGCAACCCAGCCAAGCCACGCAGGAGAAGGCTCTTCCAACCACAGGAGGTGGGGCAGACCTCCCTGTACCTCTTACTACTACACCAACTAAGCCATCATCCTGTGAAAGGGGATGGGCCTCCAAGCAAGTATCCCAGCCCACCCAGGTGGCACATTCTTTGAGAAAGAGAAAGACAAGGGCCCTTTACTGATGATGCTCACTGGCAAGACTTCCTGAGAGGATACCAAGAGTAAAGCCTCTGACCTTGATGTTAATTCTTGGGCTGCAAAGCAGGCCCAAGGCACCTCTTTACCTGTGTAGAGGAGTACAGATGGGTGTAGCCCAGCCGGTTGTAATCCACTTTGAACTGGAATACTCCATAGACATCAGGAAGTTTGAACTGGACGCTGTACTTGCCTCCTAGAAGCCAAAGACATTTCATTTTTGATGACCGAAACCCCAAAGGAAGTAAAGGTTTTGCCCATGAAACTCCCAAGCACTTATCCTGTCTTTGTGCCAAAGCTCCTGGGACACCTGTAGGGAGATGCAGCAGCTTCTGTTATCCTCTGGCTCATGTCACTACAAGCCAACCCCTGTTCTCAACCAATGTTGCACCCATTTTATATATCAAACTAGAGGCCATCTTCTAATAAGGGGAATTCAGAGCTCACAGATGCATTAGGAGACAATGTTCCTCCCTGTCTGGCTTGCCTGTGTCGACATGTCTCAGGTCATGCACAGAATGCCTCTCCATTCAAATTTTACCCAGATATTCTGTATCTGTACTCACAGCTTGCAAACAGAAACTTCCTTGAAGAACAACAGAAACTTTTAAAAGATAAGAATAGAGAGGTTTTCCTTTCCTTTCTGTGATGAACATTTTGGGTAATAAAGGTTACAAAACAAAGTGTAACAAAAAAAAAGCAAAGGCTTGCTCACGGTTTCTCTTGAGGAATGTCCTCACAAAAGGGTCAATGCGGACAAACTCAAGCTGAATGTCATCGCCATCAAAGGGGACCCACTTCCCATCAGAGAGCTTCTCGATGACTATGCTGTATTCCTGCAACACAGAGAGACCCAGCTGGGCAGTTGGGAAAGGCGGAGAGAGGAAAGAACATGTCTCTGTTTTGCATATGCGTGCACATATATTAATTAAATAATAATCTCACCACAAGGTCAGTGACAGTGTAGGCACTGGGGGGTTCTGTCTCTCCCACGCGGTGGTGGGACACCTCCCCCACGCGCAGAACCCCCTCCTCCTTGAATACCCAGCGGGACAATGCCATGGCCAGCTCGTAGTTTCCAGTCTGGGAGTACCTGGATTGCAGGGGAAGGGACAGGAGTCAGAAGCCAAGAGGGAGCTTCCTTTGCTCAGCAGAAACAATCTGGTCCCATCTGCCCTGCCCATCACTGACAATTTAGGTCACATATTCAGCACACAACCGGGAAATCTGCCACAGGAACCGTTCTGAGTCTGGTTCACAACAACCAAGGTGCCTCGGGCTGGGATGCGAAGGAAGAGGTTCTTAACAGCTGCGGGTGGACTGAGGAACTTCCCCACTCAAGACCCTAACAAATTCTATCCACCGGCTGAGTCATTCATTCATTGCCACCGTTAGTTCATCTGCTGTTTTGCTTCTCGGGGTAATTTATTTCTGATGCCTTTTTAACTATAATCTGACAAACTGCCTCTACTGCACCAATAAAGGATACAAATCTTATACACCACCAAGTCTACAACTGAACCCCACCCACCTCTGAGAACCTGGTGATGCTTTCTGTACAGCTGAGTTGAAGAAGGCATCGCTGAAGAAATCTAGAGAGCCACTGAAGATGACACGGGCATTATTCCGGGCCTGGAGGCCAGCGATCAAGAGCGTGTTCTTCCCAACAGCATGAGGATACTATGAAGAGACCGTGACAGGAGAGGCGGTGAGCAGTTAGCTTGGACAGGACTTTCTCTGGCCCTGCTTTCCCATGCATGGCCAACTGTCACACTCCCAATATTCTTTCTTTAACGTGCTTCCCATACCGTCTAGGACCTCTGAACATACTGTACAGTTAGAGAAACCTGGGCATAGCACAGATACTAAAGTGAAACAGAAACCAAAGGCAACACCTCTGCGAGCAACTTCCCACAGTGCAGGCAATGCAGCACACAACACGTTCCCATGCAAAGGAAGACATCTAGAACCTAGCACTGAGGAATGTTTCAACTGACCAAAAAGTGAACATCCAGTGACCCACCTGTGTGATGGGCTTGTCAGGAAAGAAGGAATAGGATGTAGACGAGCCGGTCAGGATGTCCAGAACCAGGGGGTTCTCAGGATCAGCCACCATCCTGTGGGAAGAGTTAACTGTGACTCAAAGCAGCAAGAAGATATTCCCCAGTCTCCAAATGGTGAGGATCTCCAGCAAGGGAGGAGGAGCGCGCGCGCGGGGGGGGTGCCTTCTGCCCTTGGAATAGGGCTGGACTGGAAAAGTCATTGACACATTCCTCAATGCAAAACCCACATTTCTTCTTTGTTTGCATTTGAATTTACAGTTAAACCCAGAATGGGTCGCTTCCCAAACCCTCTTGGGTTTTCTGTCCTTGCACAAGACTTACCCAACTCCCCTAAAGAGAATAGGGTTCAGCGGTTTCTTGCCTACGATCGTAGGAGCCTTCAGAAGGTTGTCTCCATCTGCCACAATGAGGGTGTGCTGCAGTAGGATGTCAAGACACTGTTGTTCAGCCCCTTTTACAGGCTACATATCCTGACAGGCAGGTTCTGTTAACCATGCATCCAACCTGGACTCTCTTTCAGCTGCAGCCTCCACAACCATAAAAAAAGAAAAGCTCTCTCTGCTCTCATTTTTGCAATACTTGTCTTGAGACAGACTATCTGACTATGTTGGCTGCAGAGGGTCCAGCCATGGCAGGAATACCACCTGACACCAATTATCCAGGCATCGTAATGCTTTCCATCTTGGTTTCTTCCCTGACACCGACTTTCTGTGTCACACACAAAAAAGTGTGTGGATGCAAGATGCACATGACTTTTGCTCCTGCAGCTTCTGCTCCTCCATCTGCAACATCTAGGGAACTAGGACTACCAGTTCTGGAATAATCAAATAACTTAAAACACAGCTTGATATGAATTTGAGGGTGCAACTTATGCAGGGATATGTCACCAGTAAAAAAAAAAAAAAACACACCATGTGGCTTACCTGGCCTAGATCTGAGACATCGTAGTTGTGATGGTCAATGACAGCTGTCTTCTCTTCATCAAATTCAATTCCACATTCACTTCCTAGCTCTCGAAGAGGATCACCTAAAAAATGGGAAGGACAGCAATTATTACGTGGGGTGGGAAAGAGTTATGTGGCTTCTATTATCACCAGCAAGCTACCATGATCACAGTTCATTTTCTACAAAAAAAACCCCTTGCATAATAAAGGGGAAAATGGAACTGAGCCTCACTTAACACAGCAGCATTTATAAAAAAGTCAAAGCAAATACAATAAGGAAGACTGGCTGAATTTTTCAATCACAACACCAGACAGGAAAATAAAATGGTCACTCTTATATGACAGATTCTTATTGAGATTGTGACAATTTCTTATTGTCTGTAAAGCAGACCTGAAATACTGGATGCTGATTAGGAGGAACACTTCACTTTACTTTTATATTTTCCATTTAATTAAAGTAACCTGAAGTTGCAGGACAGCTATGACCAAAGCAATTTAAGTCACAAACACAAAGTGAATTCTCTGATCCATTAAGGGCTATTTGTTCACCGTATGTTAAGGGTTAAACACTTTTTAAGGGCCTTTGATGTGATCAACCCTACTTTACTAACCAATATCTGAACTGGCAGCCACGAGGACACTCCCACCTCCATCAATGAAAGCAGCAATGGTCTCCACATTGATGTTGCCTCCAAAATCTGAAACGAAAGGCCCAAGATGTTTGCAACTGCAGATGCAAGAGCTTTGTTATTTACAAGATCAGTCTACAGCATAGTTTCATGGAGACAATGCCTTACCTTCGACCGAAGGAGAAAATATAATCAGGTTGTCATAGAGGAATTCACCATATTTAATGAGGGAGAGACCAGGGTCATCTGCAGTTCTGAAGGTAAGATCAAAGCCTCTATCTGGATATGAGAAAAAGAGACAAAATCATGGCAGTTAAGAACACAGGGGTACAACATGGCTGAGATCTTACAGCAGGGACAGTTTGTACAACTTAGACTTCTGACAGCTGCAAAGTCCTGTCTACAAGACCATAAAGCAGAACATCTGTTTCATTTGCTAGTCTCCTCCATTACTTGAAAAAAAAATCAAAACTAAGATGGGAGAATAAAGCAGGCTTCTTTGCATTCAAAGTATGTAGTCCTCATTGAAAAAAGCACCACTGAGCCATAACCACTTAGTGCAATGGCCCCTACTCTGACGAGCAAACATTTTGAAGCCATGCAATTCTACAAGGAAGTACATCTGGAATAATCTGCATGCAAAACATATTCTCTACCATTCAGTATCATTCCTCCTTAAAGACAGACACCCATTTCCTCCTAATCATGCAAGCAGAAAGCTGGTGCTGTGGGATCGCCTCCAAATGCAAATTTGCAGGAATGTATGAGGCTGTCAGCTGGTTTTCGAGCCCACCAAAGTCTAAGTATGACAGTCTAAGACAGTGAGAGAGGAGCCCCTCTACTCCACATGCAAAAGCCGGGGAAAAAACCACTGTTTTAACAGTGCTTCCAAAGCAAAGAGGCAAGCATCCTCACAACACCTGCAGGCAAAAGACTGGTGTGCTGGGATCTACTGTTGTTCTGCCTTGGCGGGTCCTCAAGACACGCTACCTCAACGGGCCCAACAGCAGGGCCGGCCCTGACACTTCTCCCAGCCCTGCTCCCGCCTGCCCACCCCACCCCCCGCCAGGGCTGCCCAGCTTCGATCCCAGCCCTTTCCACTCCGCTCCCATTACTGCAAGCCAGCAACAGCCCCACGGGCACTGCGGCAGGACTACGGCTCCCATCATCCCCTTGCAACAGGTCAGCGATGGGCTTTGCAGTCCAGCCACCGGGATTCGGGCGGCCCTTCCTCGTGAGCCCCCCTGCCCTCCTTCCCCGCCGGACCTGCCAGGCTGCGCAGGAACAGCGAGTGGGTGTCCCTGAGGTTCATGTTCTCCAGCAACACGAGCGTGCGCGACCCGCCCCCTCCGGCCGCTGCGCCCCGGGCCAAGCCCAGCAGGGCCATCGCCCACACGGCCGCCACCGCCATCCTTCGCCGGCTCAACCCAGGGACACGGGTAAGCGCGGCCATTTTCCTTTCCTCTCTGCAGGCGACCCGGAAGTGGACGCTCCGCGGGCGCCAATGAATTAACAAATCCTTCCGTGGGGAGGCGGGATAAAGCCCTCAACCCAGCCAACCAGGAGCAGGAGCCGTCACGAGCTGCGCGCGCGTCGGATGAAAGCCCGGCCTCTTTCCCTCAGGGGCGAACCAATGACAGAGAGACAACTCTGACGCTCGCGAGCCACGCCGAGCATACCGCGAAGTCTATTCCTCCGGAGCCAACCAATCGCCGCTCTCCTCCTGACTCCGATAACCAATCATCGTCAACGCAGGCCAGTGGCGACCCCTGAGCGCCGCGATCGTTGCTACAGCAACGGAGGCGCCGAGGCCTGGCCATCCCGGAAGGCTTGAGTCACGTCTGAACGCTCTCAGCCTCGTCTCCAAAACACGCACCGAAGAAAAACAGTGCAGGTAAGAATGTTGTTTTCTGGATACGAACGTATTTGCAGCAGTAGAGCCGCGGGCAAGCGCTCTTAAAACAGGCTTTTCCTCATTTCCTCCTTTTCCCGGAGACACGTGTTCCGTTTGCCTTGAATGCGGGCGGAAAGGCAAGCCTCGGAAGAGGGGAGGCAAAAAGGGGGGGTTGAAACCACGAGGTTGCGTCCGCCCCAGGAGAGAGGAAGGCGCTCTCCTTGGCTGCAGAAGAGGGCAGGGCCTGGGGACCCCCTTCCCTGGAAAGCTTGCCTTCAGCTACGGGTGGGTCTTTCAGGGGAACACACCCCCCCCAAAAAAGGCCTCGGCCTAGACCTCAAAAAAATTGTACTCTTGTTTTTTCTTTCGTGTTTCCCGCTGTTGGGCTTTCCCGCTTTCAGTTCGGCTGGGGTGGGGTTGGGGGGGTTTGACCCTTTCCCTCATGTTGTATACTTACAGGTTTTAAGCTTTAAATCTTGCTTTAAAAAAAAAAGATTTAAGCCCTCTTCAGTCCTTCTCAAGGAGAAAGGCAGGGTAAAGATATTTTAAATAAATAAAGGAAGCACAGTCCCATAGGGTGGCCACTTCGGAAACCCTGCAGAAATGTTTTTTTCAGCTCCATCTGGGCAGCCCCCCCCCCCAGGGGGAGCTCCCATATTCTTTGCTTTCCCCCCTTCCAATCTTGGAAGTACTACTGTAGATCATTAGATATGACTAGTTATGTGTTAACAGAGGTCCCTCCCCCCCTTTCCCCAGCCAAGGGTTAAATCTGTTAACCAGCACGAGTTTGTGCATTGCAGCCTAGCCACCTTGGCCAACCCATCATTAAAGCCCTAAAAATACAGGAATTCCTGTTATGGATTTTTTTAATGCACTTGTAGAACACTTTGAGCTGCCTGGCTGGAGAAATGCAGCAAATATAAATAAATAAACAAACAAATAAATAATTACAGCCATTAGCAATCTCTGGCTCTCTGCGCATTGTTTGGCTGCAACTCTCACGTCCGCTCCTCGTTGGCTGTGCTGAATGGGAACAGGCGGTACTTCACGCCCAGCAACATCTGGAGGGCTTCAAGTTGGCCGCAACTGCAGTAGAGCCTCATAACCTCCCAGGGCAAGACCGATGCTAAAAAGCTCTACAGAGAGTAATACCCATCATGTCAGAACAAGAAGGCAAGCGGATGAGCAAACGTGCAAGGCAGCTTGGACACAAAAAGCGTTAGAAGGCTTTGCCACAGACAGTGGGGGAAATGAGCCCCGACCTCCTTTGCCAAGTGTTTACCCCAGTTCCTGGGGGACAGCCAGAGATTTACTGGCACCATGGAGCCACGAGGCCTGCCGGCGGCTCCGCTCGTCCCGCCACGCATCCTCAGCCACGCTGTCTTGTTCCTCGTAGCAGTGGTTGATCCGGCCTGCTGCCAGGGAGCAGAACAGGCCCCCTTGAATCCCAGAGTAATGGTCCAAAAGGGCTTCCATGCTGGAGAACTCCACATTCAGATCCTTGGGGAGGAAAATAACCAGTTATGATGGGGCTGAGAGCAGGAAACGAGTGCCTAGAAGAGGAGGCTGAGAGGCGTGGAGGCCATCATAATGGATCTCACCGTGTGGATTTGAAATAATGACCTATCCAAGTTCACCCAGTCACTTGATCTGACTGTCCTGTTTGTCAAAGTTGTGATCTAGTATTTTAGCTCTCTGTCTAGCAGGAAGTTTGAAAGTCTACTTGCAATACGTAATCTATCAACCCATGGTAAGGTAGCTGGATACCTTTCTCAAGACTCACCTCCACAGAATACTTCCCTAGCTGGCTCCTGTAGATCTGATAAGGGATAACTCCACATCGGGTCTTCACTGAAAGACACCACTGATTGGTAGACCCCGGTTCCGCCCAGAGAAGAAAGGCCCCGAGGATGTCCTTTCTTAGCAGTGCCATTCCAGCGTCCCTGAGAATCAGCAAAAGAGGAGAGAGCTGCTCAGGAATCCACGCTACAGGATTGTCAGCGCAACTTGATACCATGTCAGGTGGAGTCTTCAAGCTTCCACTGTCCATCTTTGAATTTTTGCTGCAACTCCTGCAGCTTCAGCCTCTGATAAGAAAGGACTTTTTAGTTTCGTTCCCTGCCCTGAGCCACGGTGCCAAGACTGGGCGAGGGACAGTCCCCTCCTCCTCACCTGTCGATGCCAGCAAAAGACCAGACGCTCTCCATCAGGCTGCTCTCATTGTCCAGCAAGTGAGCCAGGCTGCCTCTGCCCCCTTTGCCATCGCAGCTGGTGGGAACTGACACCAAAATGGAAAGAGAGTGGGTGGGAAAATGATACTGCCATGGACCGAAAAAGGGTTATCCCGCTGGGCTCCATCCACGGGAACCCTACGTCTCTGTTACCTTCAAACAGCTCCACAGCTTGAGGTCAGATTACCTGCAGCTTGTTTGGGCCCCACAGTTTTGCCTGCTCCCAAAATCTATTAGCAGTGACCTCTTACACGTTAACCCCATCCTCACAGAATGCTTTACTCCACCTGCCACGTAATCCAGTTGAGCCGCCACGTGCTTGGTCTTCCGTGCTCTCTTTCTGATGCCCTAAATACTCACAGAGTTCCCGAGCGCACTGCTGCAGCTGAGCTTCAAATGTGCAACCCCGATAGGCTCCGGAACGGAGGATCTTGCTCCGGATGGCCTTCTTGCGCACCAGGATGGGGGAACAGTACGGGTTTCCAGGACGAGAGCTGCCCACACGGCCCCTTTCCTCCAAATCCAGCCTCTCTCTCTAGAGATGTGAGCCAGGAGAGACACTGAACAGGGGCCCACCAGCCATATGCAAAGCACGCATTTCCTCTTGATGGATTTTAACAATAAAGTTGTTTATCATGGCAGGAAAGGTGAGGATAAATAGAGTGAACCAAGACAGGAGAGCCTCCACTTTTCTCCCTTGGTGATGGGTGTGCCTCCTTCACCCGGGCACTAACTGGGCCCTTGATTTTTGAATCTGCCCTTGTGCACCTCGGAATCACAGCTGTGGGCCCAACACAGTCCCTCAGGTTTACTTAAGAGGTAGTGAACAGAGTTAATCCTAAGCACTGCACAAATGTAACAGCTTCTCATTGAACTAACATTTAGAGGAGAAGAGATCAGAAATGCTGACTTAATGTGCTCTAGTTGCTCTATTGAAATCAACTGCAAGATTAATGTGGATATTATTTTTACTCAAACTCCAGCCAATATCTGGAAATGTAACAGATAGCTATGAAAATTAATACGTTATTAAAAGAGAGGGGGGATATTTGGGCTTTTTGGACCATAAATCCCATGGCCTGTATGAGCTACCTGTGGATACTGGATGTTGTAGTATCAAGAAAACCAACAACCCAAATACCTCCATATATTTCCTCCTTTTCTGAGGTAGCTTCTCCTGTCAGCTACAGTGGGAGCTGACCCTGGTGAGGGCAACAGATGTGGCAAGAGCAGGGTTGAAGAGGAAAAGGCATGTCTCCCATCATGGTAAATAGCTTGGCTTACTGGCAAGAGAGATTCAAAAGGAGAGTTTGAAAGAGGACCCACTCACCACGCTGACAGAGGAGCCAAAATCGGAGGGGCACGGCAGCCTCTGGAAAGACACCAGGGCATTCACGTTTTGGGAAACCTCTTCTGGGCTGAGCGATTCCCACACCACCTGGCTGTCCAGCAGCTTGGCCGGCTCCCGTGGTGTGGGGGCCCCGGGGGGCCAGTCTTGCTCCTCCGGGTGTATCAGGAGGTAATGCAGTTGGAAGGAGCGGCAAAGCAGGAAGTGCAAAGACTGGACCTGGGAGACCGGGAAAAAGGCCAAAAGCATCTGGAGTGCCTTGCTTGAAAACCACCCTTCTCTGCTTTAAGGGTTCCTTTCCTTTAGCATCTTCCAGTGGGCGGCATTAGAGCCCTCCAGCTGCCTCCCCAAATTAGCTTGCCAACATGGCCTAGCCCGCCAACCTGAGTTCAGGAGGTGGCCTGGCGATACCAGATGTGGATGCTGGGCTCTGAAGAGCTCCTCAACAGCCACAGAGAGAACAACAATGGGGGGGGGATTAGAGGCAGTTCCGTCCGTAAGCACACGACAGAGTTACGTATGCACGCATGCCCACAAACACATACACCCCATTTCCCTCCTCTCGGTTACCTCGCTCGGCTGGCTGCCGACGAACAAATGGCAGAAAAGCCGGCTGTGGGGGCTGCGTGGATTGCGGGCCACGAAGGCGAACTGGCAGTCGGTGGACCTCCAGCCACTGTAGAGGATGCGCTTCAGGGCATGGGCCATGAGGAGGGTCTGAGGGAAAGAGGCATCGGGGCAAACCGAGCACAGCCTGTTCGCTCATCGGCCGCCGCCCCCACCCCAGCAGCTGTCCCCCCAAACAGAGCTGGCTTCTCCAGCCTCAGGAAGGGCTGCTCTTTGACTACCCTCTTGCAATAGAGGCCAGCCGCACTGGCAGAGAGACTGTTCCACCCCCACCCACCCCCGTCTGCCCCCTTCTAGCATCAAGCCTTGCTCTTCTTTCTCTACGGGTGGAAAAAAAAAGAAATCAACCCAAATGTCAGCTCTGCAGTTAGAAACATCGCGTCTTCAACATTCCCCAGTCTCCACCCTGGCCGTGAGGCTTCCGCTTTTGGCAGTGGGCATTTTCCAGGTCGATTTGCTCCGACATTAAAGTGTTGAAGCAGTTAATGTTCAGAGGTAATGTTTTGCCACCTCCCAAATGCCAAGCTGGGGCCTTTATTGCCTCTGCCCTGTGAAGGCCCAGCTTTCATTCCCAGGCAGCCGACCACAGCCTCTTCCTACCTCCCCTTCCGTGTTGTACATCTTCACGCCCTGGAGACAAAATTTGAGGAGGACGGACCGCCTTCTAGGGCAGGCCTGTGTGTGCCCAGAGATGATGAGCCCGGTGGAAGGCATGGAAAGAGAGGAGAAGGAGAGCGCCTGCTGTGCGGAGGCATCCCATGACCAGGGCTTCCTCAGAGCTTTGCCCTCACCCAGCCTCCTTCAAATATAGTTCCCAGCATTGCTGGCCAGCTTGACTCAGACAAGAACAACAACTGGAACTGGGAGACAGCATGGAGCCCTTTGACCAGCCACCCCTCTGGGATGTCAGGAGAGAGAGGCCTCTGAGAAAGGGGCCACAAGTGAGACTGACACACACACACACACACCATGCAGCATCCCACAGTTCCTCACCTTCAGCTGCTGAAGCTGCTGATGGATCAGCTGAACTTTCTGTTGCAGTTCCACGTCGTCCACCACGAAGGAGCCCACGTACTGTCAGTGAGAAGAGAGCGAGGGGGAAAGTGACACCCTATGTCCCTCTCTCTCTCTCTCTCTCTCTCCAGGGTGCCACTGATTCAGCTCAGGGAACAGGACTCTGGGCATCTGGAAAGGAGTCTCCCCTAACCTTCCCCCCGAGCAAAAAACAAACAAAAAAACCCCCACAAAATTCTGGGAAACTCTTGTCGTCTCCCAGCTCTGACTACATTTGTTTCTGGCTGGACATCCATCCAAGCTCTGTCTCCACACCCTTTCTTCCTTTGGAAACTTCTGATCCTGGGAAAGGACCTTCATCTGAATCCGCAACTCCTTCCTCCAGCCCAGGACCACCCCGGTCGCCTGGCAGGGATGGCCACCTGGGGCCTTTCCCCGCTCCTCCCAGAAGATGCTCCAAGACCACACCTGGGCAGGTCCAGCCACATAGCTTTGGTGTTTGGGGAATTTTTTTTAAGAAATTTTTTTTTAACTGGCTTGCTCTAGCAGGGTTTACCTATTTTTGTTAAGACGCTTTAAACACTCTGCAGTGGGACAGTGCCATACAAATCGTAAACCCATCCCCTCTCCTTATCCCGGAAAGAGGGCATGCAGCCCCTCCTCGTTGCGGCTCCCCAAGCCCACCCTGACCCCTGCCCGGATCACCTGGGCCGGCTTGGTGATCACCCGGCCGCCGCCGCCTCGCAGGGGGTGTGCCGAGGCCGGCG